CCACCAAGATATTGTGGCGATAAGAAATAGGGCGGCCCATTACGAACTAATAGATGGTCTATTATTCTATACAAAAACTACGAATTCCAACAACGAATTTCGACCTGTTATCCCAGCTATTAAATTAAAGCTAGTCTTAGATTAAATATCCTGCAGGAGCTCCATGACAGCCCTTTAGCTTCTCATGCTGGTATTCGAAAAACTATCCAACGCGTACGCGAGGCAGTCTACTTTCCTGAACTGCAAAAGTTAACAAGGGCGTATGTCCAGTCCTGCCCAACATGTCAAGCAGTTAATTATATTAATTTCCGCCCGGCCGGGTTTCTAAATAGTATTAAATCCGAATTTCCAAATGAAATAATTGGCATCGATTTATTGGGCCCTTTCCCAAAAAGTCAGTTAAATAAAAGTCGCTATCTCCTTGTTATGGTTGATCATTTTAGTAAGTGGACCGAAATTGTTCCCTTAAAACGAGCCTCCGCGAAATTAGTTACTGATTCTATTTTAAATAAATATATTTTAAAATACGGGGCGCCCCTAAAAGTTATATCGGATAATGGTCCTCAATTTGTAAGTAATATATTTGAAGACATGTGCCAAAAACTGGGCATACGTCATTTAAAAATGGTCCCGTATCGGCCGCAATCAAATATAGCGGAACGGGTCAATAGAAATATAGTGAAAATTATCCGTAGTTATGTTAAAAATTTTCATAAAAGCTGGGATAACTATGTCAATGAATTTGCTTTCGCCCTTAGGACCGCAAAACATGATACAACGGGCAAAACTCCTGCTGAGTTATTTCTAGGCAGAAAGATTATAACACCGTTAGATAAGTTATTTTATGTGCAACAAAGAGCCCCAGAATTTAAAATGGGTGATATAGAAAAACTAATAAAAGAAGCAAAAAAGAATACGGAAGTAGCACAAAGAAAACAGAAATTATATTATGATTTGAACGACGACGGGGAGTAACTTATAAAGTAGGGGATGAAGTTTTAAAAATTAAGCATTCACTTTCTTCAGCACCAGAAGATAAAACTGCCAAATTTTTTTTCCACGATTTGAAGGACCATATGTTATAGAAAAAAATAACTCACGCTGTAGTAGTGTTAAAAGCCAGAAATGGTGAAACCTGTTCCGCAAACATTGATCAAATCAAAGCCCTACTTCGATCGTAATAAAATGCAAATATTTTCAGATCTTTTGCAGGATCCGGCACGGCAGACACCGCAGGCACAAGCTCCAGAGGTGGGAAAACGACAAGTACAAGGGCAAGCCAATAAGAGGCAGGAGCAAGTGAAAAGAAAATTGCCCCGCGGAAAAATTGAAGGTAGCAAGAAAAAAAGAAGCCGTTCCACCGTCCAGAAAAGAGAGTTCACGAACACCCCCAGAATGAAGAAAGGAGAAGGACTACGTATGTGCAAAGAGAACCAGGAGAAATGACGGCAACTATAACCCGGCTCCTAAAACGGAAGATCTACTCATCCGACAGGACTCTCCGCAGCAAATGTCGCCGAACTGCGGAAGGGCCACCAGCGGCGGAGGAAAAGTTACAAGGAAAATTTGAACGGCCAACAACGAGGTCCAAGCAGGAACACGACAGAAGTTTCCCGGTTCCGCCAAGACCAGCTGCCATCAAACGGCCAAGACCACAAGCAGAGGAAGAAAAAGAAGGTATTCAAGGGTGGCCGAACTGGGGAAAAAAAGGAAGCTTCCAGAGGAAAGCACTGAAGGGCGAGCCCGTACAAGAAGGAGGATAAATCAAACTACTATCTTGCAATACCTTTAAAGACTGGGCCCAGAAAAAGGATGTCCGAATATCACAAAGATAAGTAAAATTTTATGTTACTTTGCAAACTTAAGTTAATCTTTCATTCTTACTGCAAGTGGCAGATTTCAAGAAGTTTTACCTCATGCGAGGTCTACCTTTATCGCCAAAAGGGCGAGAAATGAGTTGTTACCGATTTTCGTATTATGTTTTTAAATTACTCGCGCGTAAAACTAAAGTTGATGTATAATAGCGTTGTGTAAAGACTTAAATATTGAAAAAAAAGTTATTGTATAAATTTTATTTAAAACATTCTAGCAAGAGAGAAGTTTTAGTCTGAAAGACTTTTTGAAATGTAGTATTTCAATGTAGAAAGAATTGGCACTTGCTTTGAAAAGAATAGAAGTTAACAATGTACTACTAATGTATGTTTTCAAATGTGTAAAATTAACGGCATGTTAATATGTTCTTATATACAATGTGAACTGTTATTTTAAATGTTAAGAAATACCGTGATATGGTAAAAGTGAAAGTAATGTTAAAAATTTTTTTTATTCGTGTGACTGTAAAAAGACTAAAATCATGGCGAATATGTGTTAAAGGTTGAATGAATGTAGTTAGGCTCTCTGACGCTACACCTTAGAGTTAGCCACTTTTAGAATAGTACCTCAGGGTTTAGAGTTGAAATTAGGGTGTGTTAAGAGGTCTTGTTATGTTGAATTTTAACACGTTAGTGTTTTGATTGTAGGAGGAAGTGTGGAACACGTAGACAGAAACACATTCGTGTTTGGTGTTCTTTTTACAACACATGTCAGAGAGCACGGGGAGAGATAATTAAAATAGTCATGAATGAAATAAGAATGTTAAGAGAAGTATAATTGTATATGTTACTTGCCATTTCATTGTGTGTAACATTTCATTAAACTAGTTTTCCTTCCAGATCTCTGGAAGGAACCAGAATTGAATAAAAGCTCCTGTTTAGATGCAGTACAGATGAAAAAAAAATTGTTTGTATATCCTGGGAGCTGCTGTGTAAAAACAAATTTCTTTCTTTTAAATTTCTAGTTTCTAGCGAAGTATTTGTAAAAGATTGGCCTCGCGTTAGATTCTAGAGCTAAAAGTTTTCAACAAGGTCGTTTTAGACCTCAGTTTCAAACTAATTAACTCTGGCGGGAAGTATGTAAGGATCTTAAGTTTTACTAACGTTTATTTTATTTTAAATCTTTACTATCACTTCTTATTTTCTACTTCCGGCCAGAATTATAAGCGTTTAAGGTTTTTATGCAAAGTTTGTCTGGCGAACGCCAAGTAGTATTTAAGTTGTGGCTTTTTGCCAAGCGAGAGAGAGGAAGCAGTTGAGTCGAAGCAGGCCGCTTACCTTAGAAGTTACGCAGTTGCTGTTTGCCTTCCAGGCCAGAGGTTTTAATCCTCTTGATAAATTTAAACGTATTGTAGTGTTCACAGTCTCTGTACTACATACGCCTTCCTGTTAATATAAGGCCAATCTTCCACGTTTATTATTCTAAAGTTAAATTAGAGTTTAGTTTTATTTTTATACTTTTACGTTAGACCCCGAGTAGCGGGTCAGTGTATTCCGAAGTACGGAAGTTATTGTATATAGAGAAAAATAAAGGGTTTTGTATACCCTTCGTCTGTATCCTGTCTACTTACCACAATTAGTGAACATAGCTTTAGTAAGCTCTCTGTTCCGAGTCAGGTCCTTGTATGTTCCCGAAGAAGGTAAGAAGGAACATTGACCCTGATAATGCACATAGCAATATTCGAGCGTCTGGTATGGAATAACACGAGCTGTTATACACTTGAGAAAGGCATTGAACAAACATTGGATGGCAGTTACGAGTATTGCAGCTTACGCGGTTACGATTATGTGCCAGAATTTTTCTGTTGTCGTACCACTGTTTCTGCAACCACTGACCAGAAGTTTTCAACTGGTAAGAGATATGGAGAACTCGTCCGTCAAGGCTACAGTCGCCTTAGGTATTGAAGAAACATAAAATAGAGTAGGCAACAAGGGATCTCATATTCTACCTACATTGGCTTACATTCTGTTGAAAGATGAGGTTAGGAGACCCCGAAGATACGGCATAGACGTGGGCATTAAAACTTTGATTAATGATGCAACAGTGGTTGGTTAAAGTGCCATATATACAAACTAAAGCTGAGTGAAATGGGCGTCCATTAACACCCCATATCATCAATACAGGTGATGGGCTGCTGTCAGGATAAAGAATGAAAGAAGTTTCGTCTTCCTCGATGCCTCCATGCGTGGATACGGTCATGAGATATTGCAAACAAAAATAAGAGAAAGAATGTCGCTCAATTAACGCTTCTTATGCGCTCTTCAATGAGCCTCTGATTATCGTATTGCAGCGTTAAGGAAAGAGAAAGCAATTGTGGCTTTGCAAGCGTAAACATTGCAGATGACGTCACAATGCATGTGCATATAATTTGTAAGGTGCATCTAATTTCCTGGTACTGAGTGTTTGATGTGCTGTACGATCCCTAGCATCGATACGGGAAAAAATAAGGAAGAAAAACAGCCAGTCTGATAGGATAGTGGTTAGTAAGGCTGACTGCTATACCTAAAGGCCCGGTTCAAACCCCGGAGAATGCCTGAGAATATCCATAAGAAGGCATGTGTGTTTAGGAACACAAAATACACTGCTAGCCAAAAGTCCTCTCGAGAGGCTAGTGGTAAGGAAGAGAAGTTGATGGTTCAGATGGCTTCCCGGAGGTGCTCTCCCTCTAGAATTGATGCGAAATCTTAGCAGTCAGTTAGGTTTAGTAATTAATACCTTACTACCTTAGATACGACAGAGGTGCTCCTAAGTTACATCTGTACCTACAACTGGAAGCACTTTCTGCTGGCAAGACTTCGAATTGCGAAAAGGGCACTGCTTATTTTTTCTAACTTTCCTGCTCCGTGAAAATACCGACTGACTTGACAAGCTTTAACTTTGGCTCCTTTTAGTTGACCGACAAGTAAACTATGCGAATATTTTTTTCCTAATCATGTAAAGCAATTCCTTTTCATTCTTTGATATATGTGCATACTAAAATGACTAATTTCATTTAACGTTTTGAAATAAACATTATTAGATCTCACCGAAGTAATACTGTATAGGATGATGCACTTCTGTGATCTGTGGTTGAGAGACTACAAAATATATTTTTTTGTGAATGACGCAGGGAGATCTAGCTTACTTACTTGAGCGTAGGCGAGGAAAAACATCTGTTCCTTGCTCATATCTGGTCCTGGGAGTCCTATCTCTTCTTTCTTTGTTCTAGTTTTCATACTCTATGAAAAAATTAAATTCTTTATATTTTCTTTTTAAAACTGCAGATATTTTAATTTAATTTTAACTCTAATCAAGAAATCATCAAGAATACCTGAAGCCAATGTTTAACTAGAGTTCTTTAACTTTTACGAGAGAACAATATATTATTGAGAAAATTAAGACCAACTATAATTTTTAATGACTAAAATATAATTGGAATTCAATTTAAAATGAACCTAATCATGCTTTGTAATTAAGTTAAGTGAAAATTCATGACTACGCTATACTAATATATCAATAGAATTTACTAGATGATTTATCAGTTTTGAGGTACAGACAGCCTAATTCTAAAATAACTGGCAAATATATAAAGAGGATAGTAGAGGGGACAGAAACGTGCAGATTTTGAAGTAAAATGTGTGGATATATGATGCGTTGAAGTCATGAGATGCTCAGAGAATATAAAAAGAACGATTCCCGAATAGATAGACGCCGAAGATCCAAACATTCGAATGTATTAACCGAGAGCTGTGTGGAAGGGGATCATTCTATACTTGTAGGCGAAGTATGGGCAGGTTGGATCATCGCATATCCTGCAAGGGGAAGAAGCTGAAATAGGTGTGTTTACGGATAACCCTCCTATAAGCTCAATAGATATTGACGTGATTTGAGGCATCCAACTGTTTCCAGGTCTTTAAAGAAAGAAGAAATGCATCTATATCATTTACAGAGCGTTCAGGCTTTGAAATCAGCTGATAAAACACTGCGCGTCAATTTTTATTGCTGGTACTCATAACAGGCTATACAAATGGTTTGGTTTGGTTTGGTTTATTAGATTACGGCAAAGCGCTCGAGGGCTATCTGCCTTATGGGAATGATGGCTCCGTGGAGGACGTTTTAAGGGAAACTGGCTCGTATACACGTTACGCATGGGGAAAACCACGACAACACCCATGCAGCCAGCCCGTTCGCGGGATTTGAACATCGGACCGAACTACTAGTCTTCAGCGATTTTACCACTCGGCCGCTGGTGGGCGCTATACAAATGACTTCCCTTTCTAAAATGTCTCATTCACTGATGGCATTATGTCCAATTATGTTGAACACTCACAGCTCTCAGCCTTTGAGCAGATGATAATCCACATGGCGCGATATCCCATGCCCACAGGGAAAAATGCTCTCTTAATTTTAAGCTGGCACGATACATGTCCTCGTCACATGAACTGCCGCACGTACGGCAAGATACTGCATAAAAATGCTTTCCCCCCGGGAGAATTCGTGGGAAGTACTAGTTAGGATCTGTACCTAGGCAGTCTCAACCACGGGGGTATATCATTTGTCTTCACAGGACTAGAGACCGAGTATTGTACTCAGGTTGGTTCAAGCTTGGCAGGGACCGTATTGGTACTGTCGTGTCAGTCTACTGGCTGTGGTGGAGCTATATCGTACATAGATTTGACCTTTTCGATGGGGGTTTGGCCCTCAGAGTCGCACTGACGGGGACTGACAGAGTAAGGCAAGGCACCGAGAACGAATCTATTCGATTGTGAGGGAGTGGTGCCCCAAGGCAAAGATGATTAAACGACTTCTTTTTTGTATTACGTTCCAACGTTTTCGTTATTGCTGAGGCTATGTATAAAGCCGGGCAGGGACTGTGGGGTCTGCGAAGACCAGTTGAAGGGTCTCTGGAGTTTGGATATTTCAACCCCGATAAGGCTAGTACTAGAACGGAGATCCTTCTCTAGCGTCCTGTATAAAGGTGCTTCTTTTCGACGTTTCCTCAGCAATTCGCACAGGAATGTGGTTTCAGAACAACAGAACATTAAACAACATCAACAGTATTGTCAGAAATCACCTTCACGGTAATAATGGCCTCCACTTGGTCGTACGGTGAGGATCTGTTCCTTGGTTACTAAATTAGCTGGGGAAAATTTGCATCAGGCATGCATGTCTCACAAAGATCTTCTGGTAGCAGCATTAAAAGACACCTACAAGACATCCACTGAATCCAGTAAAGACCTAAATCCTTAATTGCCAATTAAAACTGGAAATGTATGTGTGATGTATGAGATATCGGCTAATGTATTTGAATTCATAAGCCGCTACTGTGGATTCTGGGTTACTATCGATGGTGGCCCATCAGAGGATTTTTTAAATAATTAAAATGTTTGTTGCTTTTCACTTCATATGTCTCACCTATGGTGTTGTTCATACCACCCTTCGGGCAAACACTTAAACGTGCCATTTCGGGCACACATTTTATTAAAAAAATCTGCTTACTTCTTTGCATTTATTGCAAAAATTGGAAAATCTTATGCTGACCCCTTTGCATTTTGCTGTATGTTTTAGAATCAAGCTGCGTATGAGAAGACATATGAAGCTTGACATATTGTTACGAAATGTATAGGCGCGGTGAGATGGCTTCTCCGCAAAGCAAGCTTAGGGTTGCCATAAAATACAAGGAAGGCAGTGCTCCCACATTTGGCGAGAAATCGTCCATTTGGCGACAAAATTGGCGATATGCCATGGACGGATGGAGAACCTTCTGGAACGAATTCTTACCGGTGTAGCCCAGAATGTTCTCGAACACAAGCCGAAGCATATAAACCGTTATTTCGCAGTCAGTGAGTGTCATCGAGGATCGAGTTAGTGTCTCGAGTTAGTCAGTCTGTACGGAGTCGATCGGCTTGACAGCCGGGCAGCGAGTGCCGAGTGGTTCGTCGAGTGCATCGAAGAGTCTCTTAGTGTACCGCTGTTTGAGCATCGTCGAGAGAGTGTGTTAAGCTCCGGCAACGACTGAACCGAAGAGTCGGGAGCTGTGCTCTGTGTGTCGTCGAGAGCATCGCGTGTTGTGGAATGGAGAGTCTCGAGAGTACGTGGAGTTCCGAGAACGACCGAGCAGAGTCGAGAGCTGTACTCTGGTACTTTCCAGTGAAGCTGTCTCCACTGTTATTGCCTGAGAGTAAGAAGGCTGTGTCGCTGATTGTTCCAGCGTGTGTATAGTAGATCTTCGACGACTGTAAAAGTGTTCTGGAGCTGTCCTGATTAATATTGGTAAATAAAGTGTGTTTCGATACTTCATCAAGTGTCGCCGTTATTCCTTCCAAATCCACACGAACCCCGTACGATCGTGAAAAGAAGAAAATAACGTAACAACTGGTGTCAGGAAAAAATGTAACAATATATATGCCGCAAGACTTTTTCATCTCTGTGCATTATAAATTCTTACCTCATAAGCTATTTCCAATGAACTTTGATCAAGGAAGAGCTCCTTCTTGTATATTAAGGACTGTAAAATATTCAAAGTAAGATTGAAATTAAACGTATCAATTGTGGAAGAATAAAAAAAAACAACATCAAATATACAAACATTTTAAATTTCAATGATGTGAAATTCAGTTTTGGAATAATAATTTAGTAAAATTTAGAAATAAATAAATATCAAATATTATGAATTCAGTCGTTTAATCAATGTATATTTCTTTATTTGCAAAGCAAATACTTTATGAAATAATTAGGACTTGTAAAACATTTTGCGCTACTGAGAACCTAGTAAGCTAAGAGGTACACTGTGGGGAAAAAGGGGGACAGGTCTATACCTCCCGTTCTACTGGGCCGATTGCCGAAATTCAAATTGCGTTTTTCATGTCTCTGAAACACGACTTAGGATATGTATTAAATTTATGTATAGTATTGTTCTAATAAAGGTTTTTCTGAAATGACATGCCAATGTTTTTCCATATTTCGATTCTATGGCTCAAATCACGCCTAGATATTAAATTTTGTAATTTTGGGTGAGAAATTTAGAAATTTATCTTAGCTCACTTTTTTTAAGTTTGAGCCAAGAATAATTCCCTTGGTGCACTTCGTAATTCATAGCAACCTATTTTACTTTCCTTTTCTCATTGTCCACGAATTCAGGGTCATCGTTCATATATTCAAATAATTTTAACAAAGTGTGTAAACCATATTTTCGTTATTAGCGCTTATAATAAATATGCCAAATTTCAAAACGCGCCAAAATGTAAATTCAGTATATATTAGGAAATTTTGAATAAAAATTTAGGAATTTTTTGCAGGTACGCTTAGAAATAGATCTATTCACTTTAAGATGATGGCAAAAATTTTATGTGTTATAATTTAAAGTTCTTTTATAAAAATTATTTAAAAATACAAATTTTAAAATAAATCATAAAAAAATGGGCGAATGTATTGGAAGAAACCTAAATTTGAACTATGAAGGAAATCAAATAAGTTTAGTAAAAAAGCGGTATTAATATATATATATAAAATTCAATTAACATTGAGGATTAAAATTTTAAAGGTTAATTCTTTAAAAACCCCTCTTGCGGTTTTTACAAAACTTGGTAATTTGGCATATTTTAAGTAATCGAATCGAAATATGGAAAAAACTGGCATGTCATTTCAGAAAAAGTCCGATTTTGTGTCAAAATACAATATTAGAACAATCATACATATAAATCTAATACATATCATAAGTCGCACTTTCGAGACATGAAAAACGCAAGTTCAATTTCGTCAATCGATCCAGTAGAACGAGATATATAGAACTGTCCCCCCTTTTTTTTGCGCCATGTACATTGATAATAAACATACAGATATACCGATGCATGAATAGATATTTCCATTAATAATTTTCGCAGGATTTTGCCTACGTGTTCACATGAAAATACATAAATGTTCAAACGAAACTACATAAATGTTCACACGAAACTACATAAATGAAAGTTTCAGTCTAACGTAAGAAACCGTCAGAATTTCTTTAACATGATCTCCAAAATATTGCTGCAATTATAGTGAGGAAGTAGTCGAAATTTATGTATTTTACTTTTTAAATATTTTGCAGAGACTTATACAAAACGTATTAGAAGAGGGATCATGGCAGCTTTTCGCCTCGAAAGTCACCATTATTCCAGAGAACAAAAGTAATATTAACTTTTAAAATCTCTTTTCTGAGATGATTCCCTCCACAGAAGTCTAAAATCGTATGGAATTCGGTATATTTGTCTTAGAATATGTTCCTTGTGTTTTCGTTTTGATAGAAGTGACATATTAAATATTTTTGTGTATTTGAACAAAATGATGACAATATATCTATAGAACCTTTTATTTAGTAACCTGATTTTCTTTAACAATTTATTCATTCATCACTATTTTACTTCATTTTCTTTTTATCTTAATTCTTTATTTGTTAACTGTACATTTTAATTTTTTGCTAATTCATAATAACAGACATATAGTTAAATCTCACGGTTTCTATAGCACTCATTAAGTCATAATATAAAGGCTGCTTTAGAAAAAGTGCCTAATTCAAATCGAATAAGATTTATTGAATTCTCGATCTAAATGATTCTGGTTTAAGTTCTTATGACTGCAGTTCATAAAATGGATCAAACAAGGCCAGCTTTCATACGTATTAAGTTTCTTTCCGAGTAATAAGTAATTTAGATTATATCACATATATTGGTAAAATTGTAACTAAATATAGGTGTCAAATGCTGTACGAAAGAGTATACTTAGTAGCCATTATTTACGAATTAGCATCAAATTACCAAAGGCCAACTCATTAGCATACGGCGTAATGTATTTTCTCCCTCTTTTCCGCACGCCTTCGTGGTGTAACGGTAGCACACTCGGCGGGTATTCGAGAGGTCCAGGTTCGAGTCCCGGCCAGAGCATTGATCAATCTTCGCGTTTCCTACTTCAAAAATCATAATCATTCTACAGTGGCGCCCGAACTAGAAAAAAGATGGTAGATTATGATTCTTCCCCACCAGAATTTCGCGATAGTGTCCCCTAATCCCAGTAGCCCTTAAAAAGGGGAAGTATATAAGGTATTTTGTCCCTCCTTTCTGCAAGCCTTCGTGGTGTAATGGTAGCACACTCGGCTCTTATTCGAGAGGTCCAAGTTCGAGTCTCGACAAAGCCATTGCTCAATTTTCATCTTTCCTACTTCTAAAATAACCTTATGGTTTCTTCAACGGTAACCATTCTTTTGAAGTGAAAATCATCAACATTCTATTTGTTGATGTTTCATTTTGATTGACGTAATTTAGTGAAATATTTCGTAGAGACATTAGGTATTTTTTGGAAGCAGGTAAGATGAAAAATTAGCAATCGCCTTCGCCGGGAATCGAACCACGGACCTCTGGAATACCTGCCCAGTGTGCAGAACCACTACACCGCGAAGGCATGCTAGGAAAGCGGTAGAAATACCTTATAAGTTTAATAAATCGTTTGGCATTAAAATTTTTTGGAGGTGGTGTTTTCATATGAAACTTACCAAAAGTACGATTCTTGAATTTTAGTACGGAGCTAGTAAAGAAAAAATATGTAGGAAAAATACCCCTTTCTATAAAATAGAATTAAACAAGAAAATCTGTTGTCATATAATGAAAAGTATTTGAGACAACAATCAATTAGAATTTACTGAGACCATCTATACCTAACTGCTGCTATAAACAACCATACTATTAAACTTTTTAACTCAAATTTTGAACAATATAATTTTTATTGAGAATGCTTTTAATTCGAAATGGAGATTTCAAACTATTATTAACAGAAATGATAGAATTCGAAATACTGAATTTAACGATTTGGCAGTTCAACAAAACTACTAACATTAGTTTTTTTTCTCTAAATAAAACGATTTAAGCATATAATTTTGCTAATGTGTACAGATTCTATTTGCATATTATGAAAACTTTTTGTAAATACATTGCAGTAGATAAGAAATGATTTACTGATTGATGTAAATCATTTTTCAAATCATTTCTTTCTTTGTAAGGAAGCTCATGTGGAAATTTAAATTTCAATGATTTACTGATCGATATACACTATGTAAGAAAGCTCATGTGAAAATTTAAATTTCATCTACTTTTTAACATAAATGCAGTATGATCAAAATTGCATATTTTATTTTTAAAATGTTCATTTTATTTAATATTTAATTTATGGCCATATATTTTGTTTGCAAGTGTATTATAATGCAGATTCTTTAATTCTGAGTGGGCTGATATTGAAATAATGGGAATGTCTCAACTAAAACCAGGGATATCAAAAGAAACATCCCCACACACTTGGCGACACTTAATATTTGGCGAGTTTTCCCCAACTCAGCCACATTTTAGTAGTTTTCGGACTAAGCATTCTTAAGGACTTAAGAACTGAACTTCCTTGAAGGTTCCAGAAGTGTTTATTATCTTCTTTGTGGAAAACAATATATATGGGCTTGCTATTGGAGCTTGGAATAGTCAGTTATTTCAGACCACTGCGTTAATTCAGGGTAGTGCGACTGTTTTTCTATTGAATACTTCGTTCCATAATCGCTGCAATATTTATTAAGAATTTTGCTTTATCTCTAATTTTTTCGAGCTATTGATAGTTATTTATTTTGGCCATAAGACAGTACCCGAATAATCTACGTAAGCCGCCCGGAGTACCGTCCGGACCCGCTACCGTCCGTACCTCTACAGTCCGGACCCGCTTTCACCGTCAGCTGTATAAAATGTGTGAACAGTGAAGATAGGATAATAGTGAAGATAATATTGATCAGGAAATGATAATTACAACAGAATAGGTGCTAAATAACTGTCCAAAGAACTTTCAATCAAATTCTAAGAACTGACATAGACATTTAGTTATTAAACATAGTAATTACAATTTTACCTTAGATTATAATTATTATTATAAGTGCGCTCTGAACATAATTTTAAATATTTAGGTACAGTTTTACTTATAAATGCATAAGTGAAAGACTCGTTTGCTTTGAAAAGTTTAAATGGATTCATATTTAGTCTTAGCTATTAAGTTAATTCTTAATTTTAGTGAATATAAGTTTTTAGTTTTAGTGATTGTAAATTTTTAATTTTACTTCTAAATGTATAAGAGAAAGACTAGTTTGCCCTGAAAAGCTTAAATGGGTTCGTATTTTTTATTAACTATTAAGTTAATTTTTAATTTTAGTGATTGTCAAATTTTAATTTTAGTGATTGTAAACCTATAATTTTAGTGATTGTAAATCTATAATTTTAGTGATTGTAAATCTGTAATTTAGTGATTGTAAATCTATAACTTTTGTTTAATTTTAATATTAGTTTTGGTTTAAGTAGTGTTATTTTGTATGTTATGCTTTAAAATTGCATGTTTAGAAAACACGCTTAACTCCTATATGACCAAAGTGTTCATTATGTGTTAGGAAAAGATAATCATCTGTAATGTATCATTTATGCAACCTCTCCCTTGGCTGCCCATGTCCAAATTAGTTTTGTTATAATAAACTCCTGACATAGGGTAGAGGCAATTCTTGCTAATGCTTCGTAGTCACCATCAGTTGTCACGTGTATAAAAAGTGTTTAAACTGGTAATTATTTGTACCAATACATATTTCGTAAATTGTATGCAATTTTTTTCATTAATTTGGTACTTAACATAGCATTATCTATGTTAATATATTGCTCAGAACAGTAATTTGCTCTCAATTTATTTATTAATGTAGATTAATAGTTAAGGTATCGCACTGAGTTGCAATTAAAATTTATTTTTAATTAATTAATTAATTAATTAATTAAAACTTATTTATAAATATCATATTCATATTATTTTACTTATTTTATCTTTTCCTTACTTGTATTACTCTTCGTTTCATAAGATAAATTCATTCAGCACCAAATCGGTCTTTCATGGCTCACGAAAATATCTGCAAGCTGTTTTAGCACTTAGCAGTAATATTAAGTTAAAAATATGACCTCGAGTTAAAAATATGACTCGTTGAATGGTTTGCTGTCATCTTTGTAATGACGCTAAAATACAGCCCCAGACGTAAATTCACGCAGTTCGGATTCATAAAATAATCCTCATAATGGGATTTCTTGGTCGAGATACGAAATCAGCTTAATGGTCGATGTAAAATTATAAAGAGCGAATTTAATTTTTGGAATGAACGTCTTAAGATTGGAAATAGACAATGACTGGATTTCAGAGGGTTATATCCAGCATAGCGAATAATCAGAAATACTATGGACAGTTTTTTAGTATTCGTAATTGAAAACACAAAAATTACTTTGTAACATTGCATTTTAACCTTGTCTTACCTCTTCAGATAAACGATCATCGAGGAAATCGATTAGACAACTGCTGACGTCTATGTTGCTTTCCCAAGCGTCCAGTAAAACGTTTATGTGCAGCTCTGAGTCTAAAAGAAAGTTATACTACAACAGTTTTAGAAATGTTAATAAATAACACTCTACTTTTAAACATTATCATAATGTTTTCATAATTGCATTTTGCATTCATAATTGCATAATTGCTTTTGGAATGAACCTAAATTTCGATCTGTGAAAGGTTAGGTTATTTAATTACGGCAAAGCCTCGAGGGCTATCTGCCTAAGCGGAGGGACGCCTTCGTGGAGGACTTTCTAAGGCAACTGGCTCGTATGCGCCGAACTGTGAAAGAAGGAATCAAATAAGAGTAATGAAAAAGATATATTAATAAAATACATACCAAATTGAATTAACACTGAGGAGCTAAACTTTTGAGAGCTAATTTTTTAAAAACTACTCTCACGAGTTTTACAAAACTTGGCAAATTGGCATAATTTGAGTCGCAAAATCGAAATATAGAAAAAAAGTGGTATGTCATTTCAGGAAAAGTCCGCTTTTGTGTCAAAATACCTATAACAAATAATAATAATAATACTATATATAAATCTAATTCATACCCTAAGTCGCGCTTTCGAGACATGAAAAACGTAATTGGAATTTTGTCAATCGCCCAGTAGAATGGGAGGTATAGAACTGCCCCCCTTTTTATGTCCAAAGAGGCTTTGTCGCTGAAGGGCTATTGTTTTCGTTTTGCGATCTTGAGTTGGTCCACTATAAATGTCCGTTTCACTTTTCAAACTGTTGCCACCCAATGTTAGATTCCTGCATTATATTTGAAGAAATTAAATAATGAAATCTGCATAAATGTATGTCTATTTCTCGCATTGTGATAAAACAACGGTACATAGGGCGATCGAATTATGAATCACGTAATATTTCTACGAATATGGGCATGTGAAAGACCAAATTTAAAATTTGGAATTTGTTTTATGATCGATTTCATATTTTGTAAGACTTTAAACGTATTTTTGTGTAACAAACTGAACGATTTCAATGCGAGCAATGGCAACACTCTACGGGGGGGGGGAATCTCTTTATCTCCGGCGCGCGGAACTGTATATCGGGAATTCTAAGGATATGCTCATTTTAAAATTATTTTGCGACATTGCTATTGAATTGAATTTTATGGTTTAAGTGAAAAACACATGATATTTAATAAATAAAGGTAACACACTAAACGTTAAAAAAAACGCTCCTTTGGACGTAATTTAAAATCTAAAACCTTTCAGATTTTTTTTTTTTTTCGTATTGTACTTATGCTGAAAATGGGGAAGTATGTACAATGAAAATAGATTAAGATTCCCAATTTCTTCGTTCATTGCCGGAATATTAATTACAATGTTGTTAAATAAAATTAAAATCTGCTTTTACCTTCCCTGAGAAGTATTCTTGAAACTTCTCTTGCAATAGATGTACCAAAACCTCCATAACTAAGCTCTCTTGAAGAAAGAAAATGCATTAATATAGTTAAAAATGTATTTAGAAAATGTGCTAATTAGATAGTAAAAGGAAAGATATACTTCATAGAAAGCATACAAAAGTAAGAAATGCATACTCCGGTCCATAAATTCTGATGTAAGGCTCAAGAATTTTGTCAAAGAAGGCAGAAACTACCAATCCTCTTCCAGGAACTGATCTACCTGAAGTTAGCTGAAATTCCCTTAAATATAAAATAATTTCAAATTAAAAACAGGTTTAAAATAAATTAAATTTTATTTATATTATTATCTAAGCTGATTGAAACACATATTATAAGAGTTCTTGTTGCCTTGAAATACTCAGCCACCCAGAATTAGTATTACAAAGTATAAGCATTTAATAATTATTCCAATTATTAAAAAAATCCAAAAGTACCTGAGCAGTTTGAATTATAGAGGGTTTTTACACATTTTTAGAACGATTTCGGGTCGTTTAATTGATATTTAAAACGTACAGTATTTTTTATGTGTTCGATCTCATAGCCATTTTCCTTGAACAAGTCTGTGTTGTGATTTCTATGAAGGGCTTTTTGAAAAATTTCCAGGGTTACTCATTTCCATACCTCTTTACTTCAGACTCTATCGTCATGGTGGATTTACGCTTAGAAGGAGCTTTTTTCAAACGACCAAGGATGCAACAACCCATGGGTGAAATGGCTTTTCAGGAATATATTGAAAAGGTACATATATATTATACCTGTATCAGTCTTCATTTTTTCAAGGAATACAGTGGTACTTTTCGGAGTATGATTTCTTGAAGAACGTTCATTACATGAAAGTCATTGGGATAAAAAAAATAATTTCTTCTCAAAATATCGTATGTAAAATATTACTTGACAGTACGTCGAGTTGATTTTAACACTTTTTTCCCATTTTTCATATTTTTAATTTCCTATTGCAAAGGACTCCTGCCACAATCATAAATTCCTTATTGAAAGTTTTTTTGCGTTGACGGAACCTGCTCTGTACATATTTTTCTCTTCGTTTTTGATAACATACTTTTTTTGGTTGCAGCAATTTAGTTAAACCTATTCAAGGGTGACAATGTGTTTCCATTTATCTCTCTCTAAATAATTTTCATACTTTGTTCTATAAACTGATCTGCGTTGGCCGCATGTCTCAACAAAAGCTAGTGAATATTATGTTTGTTAGCTATTTTAAATCGCAAATGTTAGTTTATTATTTTATTTATTGTTGCAACAGATATGTTTAAAGACTTTTCGATTGATTTTTGCGTCAGCCGAAACATTAGTAATCTTTAGAAACATTAGAACATAGCTTTTGGAATATTCGTTTGGAGTTTTCTTTTCTATGTAGAAGTAATGGTTGACGGTTTCTTCCTTTCCATGTAAGTATTTTTCGATTAATGTTGCTTATTTTGCACTTGGGAATTTTAATACGTTGCATTTTGCAATTTTTATGAATTATGGAACAGGAAAAATTCTCTTTGGAAAGCGCAAAAATATATCTTTTAATTCACAGCTTGTTTACATGTGACGACGTTTTGAAAGAAGAATAAATTTAAAAGTAATAGACGATACTTCAAATAATAAGCTGTTGCCAAAAATTTTTATTGTAAAGTATTTGCTTTTTTTCTAATTCTTTATCGAAATCGTTTAAAAAAATGTGTTAAAACTCTCCTATATCATTCAATTTTAACTATTGGATATGAAAGCAAAGGCCAAAAGAATATAAGAAAAAACCAGTTTCTTTTGGTGTTCGTCTAAGTGGTACTTTAACATTTAATAGGAAGGGAGCTAAACTTTTCACTGGGAAATACTTCAGCTTATCTTAAAGAAGAATTTACTACAAAACCTTTAAATATTTATAAAAAAGTATAATACAAAGAAATAGACAAATATTTCTCTTAATACAATATCGCATATTATATACATATATTACACTACCTGGCAACAGTAGATGTTGTATTTTTTGAATTAAGCTGGATCGTACATCACGCATTCTGAGTTATAATATGAGATAATATGAAAGTCGTATGAATAGTGGAATTCGATGAGATATTTACGTTTTGAGCTTGTTCTTTTCAGTTCGTTGTTACGATTTTTTCTGAAGAATTTGATCAAGAATAATCAGAATTTGATTTTTGAAAAAGTTTATTTGACTGATTAATTACCTTTGGCTAGAAAATGTCCTTTTATAGGACACCACTCAATAGTTCTGATGAAGAGGACTACCGAAGCGAGCGTTCGTCCAAATCCAACAAGACCTATCCATTGAAGAAAGAGGATTTCATAGCGTTTTACGGCCAAAGACAAGAAAAGTAAAGCAACGAAAAAGGCGAAAACTATGTCAGATACGGAAAGCGGACAACCAAGTAAGAAGAAAGATGTTAAACCTGGTAAGGAAAAAAGAGACATTCAAACACCGAATGGAGAAGCTACTGATGAGCAGACACCAAGAAGATTTCATCAAGTGGAAAAAGATGAGGACATCCCAAGATTTTACGTGACATGTTCTGAAGAAGAAATCCGGGGACCAGATTGCGAAATTTGGATTTGACGTACATTTACAATTACTTTCATAAAAGAGCTAAGGGTGAGATGGACGTGTAGAGACATTCACGAAAAAATTTTATCCAGAGCAGATAACTGAAAGAAGAACAGACAGCAAGGGAACAAGAATGGATTTCTCTCCTAAGAAAACCGCGAAAGTATCAGAAAATGAAACGAAGCTCCAATGGAAGTTACGAAACGGAAAATCGATTTGAGCAGCTAAGTGAAGTAGAAAGATATGGAAGAAGAAGGAGGAGCCGAAAAAGAGGAAGGAAATTCCACCCCCTTAATAGTTTTCCAGCAAAGCGAAGTGGATTGGCCCTAAAATTCATGGAATCCTTATCAAGACCTGCAGTGAAGAATTCGAAGCCGATATGAAAATGAAACTACTATATGTTAATTTAAAGTCAGTAGACGATACAGAAAAGCAACTCTGGTTTTGCAGAGAAGAAATATACCATTTCATACTTTCCAGTTACTCAGCGAAAAACCTATTAAGGTTGTTCTTAAGGGCCTCCATCGACGATGAAGAAGAAATAATCCAGGCAGATCTGGAGAGAAGGAAATTCCCGATAAGTAAAGTCAAGCAGTTTTCCAGACGAAGAGGAGACGCTATCGAGAAACTTCCGATTTTCCTGTTGGAGCTGAAGAGAAAACGAAGGAAGGACGTGCAATTCATGGACTCAACAATATGTTAAGGTTTAATGTCAAGATCGAGAAGTTTGCCCCGAAAATCGCGTAATTCAATGCTATAGATGTCAAGAATATGGACATTCGCAACATCTCTGCTCAAATCCTGAGCGATGCTGCAAGTGTGGACAGCGCCATAGAAGTAAAGAATGCCCGTCTAAAGCCAGAGGAAAAACCTAAGTGCATCTTCTGCTCACTACCGCATGTAGTTCATACAGGGGTTGCCCCGTGTACAAGAAGCGATATGAAGCAAAGAAGCAGCAGGCGAAGCCAGCAACTAAGATCCCTACGCCGGCAGATTTTCCGAAATTCATCGAAAACAGAGGGAAGACAGCAGTAAAACTCAGATGAAACCTCTCTACAGTGATAGAGTAAAGAAAAAAATTGGAAAAACCCACCCACAGAGTACAAGGATATCATAACTGGATCCAAGATCCTAAAAAAAAAAATTCTGAACAGCATGGTTGAGCATGTAGAGAAGATTCCGCGCTGCAAAAACCACGGCTGAGAAGTTTACTGCCGTGTTTGAAAGCAGCCATGACACTGATGAGGATTTTGCTGAAAAGTGAAGAGTAATCACCAGCTTAGAAGCAAATTTGAGGGAATTTCATTATGTTTAACGATTTTTTTCACTTTTTCCAACACACGGGTTCTCCCTGTTTCCAGCAGCAAGAGCTTCGGGGTTAGTACTTGGGTGGGTGACCACCCACGTGACTGGCCGTCGACGTATCATCTCTCTTCGATTAGTGAAGAAACATCACAGCTTGTAACGGCGGCCAATGAAGAACTCACGACCAGATGCTTGAACCCTCCTTCGCCCTATTCAACTTGATCCAACTCACGTGCATTAAGCACATGTTCCCAGCTTCATCTTTATAGGTGCGGTGTAAATCACCCTTAATTTTACTAATTTTTTCCCAACGCCTTAGGGCATATCTCCAACATAGACGGTTAAAGTAGCAGAGGCTACTAAATGCCGCCTAACCATTCACTCGATTTCAATTTCGATTTTGTACATCATATTCTTAACGTAATTAAAGTAATATCTATAAAGACGATAGAACTAAAATGTTACCGTTGAATAAAATTAAAATTCAACTCAAGCTGATTTTTCATTTTATAAATATCAAATGGGATAAAAAAGCATAATATAATTTTCAAATATAGTCTATTTTTTAAATAAAGATATATGCAAAGTCGGAGAATTTATATCATCGCAGCCATAAGGTAAGATACTTCCAGATATTACTGGATATAGATGAGAATTTCTTTACGGGTTCTTAAAAATCTATTTTGTTTATGACACATAAAATAATACTTATCGAAAAATGTTGCTAAAAAGCAGATAATTATATTACCTTTTAAATAATTAACAACGTTGTATATAACAAAGATCATTTATAATATACTATTAAGAGATTTGTTATCAGCTGACAAAGAATGTCTATTGAATGTTCTTTAACGATTTCATTGAAATTAAAAGTAATATCAGTTTGAAGAAGTTCTTCTTTGTGTTAAAAAAAGCTTATGTTTGAAAACATAAAATCGCGTAAATAAAAAGATCGAAGAATGAAAGAAAGCATATGGACAGTGTTTCAAGAAAAAAATTTTAAAATATATAAAATAAGAATTTAGTTCTGCTGTAAAAACAGCCGAATTTTCATGTTCTACATGCATGTGGAAAGTTAGGCTTAACTTAGCTTCAGAAACGTCACATGGCGAACGTTCAGCAATATTCTTTCCAGCCAAGCTTTAATGTCAGCAGATCAAACGCGGACATTTCCTTGTGCATGGGCAATCTAAATTGGTAATCTTTTCAAAGTGTAAACAATTAGACGTGGCCGAGTGAATTACGACACAGCAAATCAAGCAATGATATTATTAAATGTAAACAGAGTTAATATTTTATTATTAGTTAATTTTCACCTTGCAAAGCGGGATATAATCTTTGAATTCTCGTGATACCTGGAAAAGCAGGTCAATGAAAATGCATGACCAGAGTTGTATCAACTTGTTATCAAACATAGTTGTATGCTTGTTATCAACAACGATATTTAGATATATGAACTGTCAGTGTGCTTATTTGCTCATACGCAAGAAGGTTATAGATTTAAAATTATGTGTTAAAACAAACACATGATTGTGAATCATTAGAAAAACATACATTTTCAAGCCCTCGGAAACATACATTTTCAAGCAGCAATCTTTGGGGTCTGTACCGTGGGTTGGGGAAACTCATGCGACAGGCGCCAGCTAATCCGCAGTTTACTAATGTGTTACCTATATTCACTGTGATAAGGTGGCATAAAGGTTCTTTGTCTAGGATGAGGGATTTCAAAGTGCAATAATTTTCAGATCAGTGGTGAAATCCTGTGCCTTTGTTCATGATTCCGGTTGCAGCCTCGAAGGTCGCTCCAGTGGACAAAAGAGATAAAAGAAGTCTTTTCAGCAGGGTCAAGAGATTCACACTTTGTTTTGTATGAGCGAAAGGATCATGGAGAGGAGGAAATAAATTTCCTGTTTTAGAGCTATGGGCATATTGGCCTTCCAAGAACGATCATTCCTCGTGCATAATACGTTAGAGCATTTTAATTTTTATTAAAATTCATGTTATTGTTAAAACTTGAGTTTGAAGTTCATTCCAACCCTGTGTCATAACCCAGGGTTTGCGTAGCGGTTTCGGCCACTACACCACATCACAAATACTGCATTCAGGTTCCCTTATTCTAATCATGGTGTGCTTATATACTGTTATTATTAACAGGACTATAGACTTTGAATTACGTGTGATAAAGTTTATAGACTTTATATCATTAGAACTATGTTACTTTCATGTCTGAAACCTACATCTTCGAGAAGCAGTTGCCGGGGTCTGGACGTGGGTGGGTGACCGCTGACATGACAAGTGCCTGGGAATCCGCAATCTACTATTGTACCTCTTCGTATAATCCTGTTTACTGTAGCCATGCGGGATAATCTCTTTAAGGAAGAAGACTCTAAAGGGGTTATCACATCTAGCGAAGGTCCCTACTAGACGGGACTTTTCTGAGAAACGAGACTCTGGTAGCATTGGTTTAAACGAGAGGATTCCTAGAAAAAAGAACCCCGCCTGAAGCGAAGTCCCGTCTAGCTACGGAAACAATGTACCGGCTACGTGGGATTTTTTGAAACCTCGATGAAAATGTTTCGGCTGCAGCTCTGTCCCGGGTAGAGATTAACCAATCAGACGAACATTCTGCTTCTGTAGGATCACGTGATCCCAATCTGAGCGATAATCGATTTCTCTTTGGCTTTCAAGTCTATTTAGTAAGTAGAAATAGTTAACCTAGCTACGTAAGTCTCGTGAAAATATGCAGGCTGTAAGAATTCTTCCTTGCGTTACGTCCAGTCCCTCGTAGCGGGACTGGACGTAACATTTGGCATTCTATTTTCTCAAGTAGCTCATCAGGAACTAGTTTCCACAAGGCAAGCAGGTATCTGCGGTTAAGCTGGCGCTTAAACATTTGTGATTGGGACTTAACGCACTGCATGGTTATATGTGATTGATCGTGACAAGTTTCCGTTTGATTGAGACGAATTGTTCCGAGAAATTTCCCTGCTTCCCTGAAAACTTTTCTCACTGGGGAGATGCTGTGAAGATAATAATTTTTCATGTTCTGCATGCATGAGGGAAGTTAGACTTAGGAGCTTCTATATAGTTTCAGAAAAAAAACCACATGACGAACGTTCAGAAATGTGTTTTCTACCCAAACCTTAATGTCACAAGATTAGACGTGGATATACCATAGTGCGCGAGTATAACAGGATAATTTTTGCTTCCGAACCAGATAATTTTCCGCGAGCCGGATAATTTTTGCTTCCGCTGATACCTGCTTGCCTTGTAGAAACTAGTTCCTGATGAGCTACTTGAGAAGATAGAACGTCAAAGCTGTTTCTTTGATGACTTTTATTGCAAATAGTTTTTCTTTCGTATTTTAGTTCAGAAATAAAAGTTTTCATACCTTTAACTTTGTAGTCCAGATTTCCGTTATAGCGTTTGATATTATGCGACTAAGAGTAAATTTGTGGAAAGATTTTTATTTACTGAGTTTTCGTCTCGTATTTATAGATATTACTCAAAGCAGAGAAACCGTTTACTTATAAGTAAAATGATCTCTTAAAATACCACAGATATTAACATTAAAAATCTTTGAGCTATATATAGAATCTTATCCACATAAAAAAGCTCACCTTATAAAAATACAGTCCTATACAGTTACGTAATACAGTTATATATATATTTTTATATAACGAATGAAAGTAAGGTTTTAAAATTTTGGGAAAAATTTCTTCAACTGTTTAAAGCTTATTAAAAATCTAAAGATTTAACAAGAAACATGTTAAAATAATGAATATTCTCAATACGCTACGAATGTTCTATTGGCCTTTCCTAATTAAATCACAGTATTCGATCTTAGAGCGAGGACTAACACTCTAAATTATAGTAATACGACAATTAAGTAATAAAGGTTCACCTTTCAAATTTCTCTCATAATTTTAGCATTGTAATCAAAATATTACTGCTTAAACTAAACAACAATAATAATAAAGAATTTAGAAGTTTATGTTTTAAAAGAATAAATAAGGTATTCTTACCAAGGTTCAACTATTTCAACTACTTTTCTTGTCGGAGATATCTTTTTTAAATTTTCAATGACCCTTTGTCTGTAAAGATTAATGACGATTCCAGAGTAATATTCAGTATTTACCTGCATTAAGAACAATAGCAACTTGTTTACACAAAATAAATAAACAGCTTTACAAATTAAGATAATTAAAATTGCGTTTTCAGATTTGTAGGATGTTTTATGAATTAAAACAGAGACTAAAAATGCAGGAAATATGAATTTCCCCTGAAGTACACATTTCGTTCAATATGGACAATCTGATTATTCACTGCGGTGGGGAAGAAAAGAAAAGAGGAGGGGACAGCTCTATATCTCTCGTTCTACCGGGCCGATTGACGAAATTCAACTTCCATTTTTCTTCTCTCGATAGCGCGACTTAGGATATGTATTAGATTTATATATAGCATTGTTCAAATATAGGTATTTTGACACAAAATCGGACTTTTTCTGAAATGAGATGCCGGTTGTTTTCCATATTTCGATTCTACGACTTAAATTATGGCAAACTGCCAAGTTTTGTAAAAATTTCACGAGTAGTTTTTAAAATATTAGCTCTCAAGGTTTTAGCTCCTCCCTGTTAATTGAATATAGTATATATTTATTAATCCCTCTTTTTTTATTAAACTTATTGGATTCTTCCTTTCATATTTCGAAATTTAGGTTCATTCCAAATAAAATTCGCCCATTTTTTATTTATTTTTAAAATTTGTATTTTTAAATAATTTTTATAAATTTTTCGAAAAAAATTTTGAATCATAATCCATAAAATGTTTACCATCCTCTTAAATTAGATGTATTTCTAAGCCAACCTGCAAAATATTTGTATTCGAAATTTCTGAAGATATATGGGAATTTGTATCTTGGTGCGTTCTGAAATTCGGCATATTTGTTGAAAGCGATAAATCATTAAATGTGGTTTAGGCTAAAATTATTTGAAAGTAGGAACGATGTGACGTTTTCCGCTCTTTTACAATGAAAAACGGTTGCTACAAATTAAGAAATTCATTAAGTGGCGCAAACTGAAAAAACATGCCAACATAAATTTTCGAATTTCTCCATAAATTTCGCACGAAATTTTACAAAATTTAATATTTGAGCATAATTTGAGTCGTAGAAGTGAAATATGGAAAAGCATTGCCATGTCATTTCAGAAAAAGTCCTATTTTGTGTCAAAATATCTATATAAGAGCAATGCTATATATATGTATATAATACATATCCTAAGTCGCGCTTTCGAGATATGAAATACATAATTTGAATTTTGTCAATCAGCCCAGTAGAACGGGAGATATAGGAACTGTTCCATTCTTTTTTAGCAATGTACTCTTCTTTGCAACAGTCACTAACGCATTTAAAATTATCACACCCTTCATTAAAAATTTTGCTTCTCTATCAAAAGGAAGAGTATAAACAGAATAATTCAGACTATTTCTACTCTTCACCTTTTTCTGTAGAGATAATCAATGGGCTTCATGTCATCAGATTAGACGTCTCACGCTTGAGATCACTGGGAAATGATGCAAAGTTAAAATTTTTAAAGATAAAAATAGTTGCTATAAATCATTATAATTTTGAAGCAAATATTATAGCTTTATATGTCGTCAGTTTTATTAGTTAGTCATATTTAAACGCAAATAATGAAATATGTTAATGCGACAGAGCTGTGTGAAAGAATTTCAGGGATGGAGCACAAAAGACCTGATAAAATTCAAGAATCAAATAATATTATAGCAAGAGTCAAGTATTGTTATCCTAAAGTAATGTGTATGACAAAGCTCATCTCGATACACTGTATTTTACACGATTCGAGAGACTGCACATTAAAGCAACCTCTAGAATCATGTAAAATATGACTGATTCGTTAGTTTCATGTGCAAAGTTTGCACAATGAAAGCTGTGGCAGGCTAAATTAGAACAAAGGATAAGTAGTCTAATTCTCGATGATCTCCTGTGACGGCAAATAAATAGAATAATTTATCGTATTTCACAAAGAAAAAGAACCAAATTAGAAACACGATTGTAAAACAAATAAAAAAAGGGGGGAAGATAAATTACGTCCAAAGGGGTGTTTTTAACATTTTGTGTGTTACCTGTTATTTATTAAATATCATGTTCTTGTCACTTAAAACATAAAATTCAGTTCAAGAGCAATATCGCAAAATAATTTTAAATTGAGCTTATCTTTAGAATTTTCGATACAGTCTCACGCGCTGGAGATAAAAATGTTTTTTGTCTATACAGCGTTGCCATTGCTCGCTTTGAAATTCTTAATTTTGTAAATAAAAAATTCGTTAAAGCTTTATAAAAATAGGAAATCGATCATAAAACAAATTCCAAATTTCAAATTTGGGCTTTCGGACGCCCATATTCGCAGTAGGATTATGTCATTCAAAGTTGGATGGCTCTAGGTACCGTTGTTTTATCTCAATGCGAGAAATAGACATATATTTATGCAGATTCTTCATTATTTAATTTCCCAAATATAATACAGGAGACTGTAATATTTGGTGGCAGCAGTTTGAAAAGTGAAAAGGACATTCAGTGTGATTCGACGCAAAATCGTAAAACGAAAACTGTACTCTCTCAGGAACATGGTCTCTTTGGACTAATTATATTTTCTGTCTTTTGTATCTGTTGAACTTCTTGAGTCATTAGGTATTTTTTTGAAAGTGTGAGAGATGAAAAATGAGAAATTTCGTTGCCGGGACTCGAACGATAGACCTCTCGAATACGTGCCGAGCGTGCTGACCACTACACCACAAAGGCATACTAAGAAGGAGGGGGAAATACCTTATACTATGAAGATAATTTTTGCATGGCATGCTGATGTGCAGTGAACCAGATGCACCATTGTTCGTGTTCACAACGCTCAGATTAAAAGAAATGCATACTCTCACTCCAGAACGATTTACACGTCGAAAATGTTCGTCTTCATGCTTTCCCGGAAAATTGCTACGACTCATTAATGTTTTGCACGATATATAATTTTCAGTATTTCTTATTAAGTTATTGGCTTTTCATAGTATTTTCCAAACAAAGTTATGACCGTTGCAATTTCACTAACACTTCTTGGATTTTAAATTTTCATTTTGTTTATTAAGCGGCTGTTTTTCAAACTTGACATATAAGCTTAGTTTCATAGTATAGTTAATTAAATTATTTTTTGAAACTGAATATAAAAAAGCATGCATTGCTTTGACTGTGCTGACATATGACAGCAAAGTTTTGAGGAGACAATATGCGCAAAAGCGGTAGCTGTATTCTCACAGTTCAAATAATAATGCTTGAAAGAAAAGGCATGGTTAGCCTGTGTCAACACCTTACATGGTGCACAAAAGTTCAGATCTAAATCTTTTATTTGCATCAAATGCCTGCTTGTTACTTCTGAGAATAGTTCTTTGAATGTGTCCGCTTCTAAGATGTTTAAATTTTGTACAAGTCATCTTACATGCCGGTAAATACTACTTAATAATACTTGATTGGTTGCTATGATATATGTTTCGAGTGCTCCTAGATTACCTTTGAATGGACGTTAACCTTTTCCGGCACGCTACCTTTTAAAGTTGGAGTTTTGATAAAAAAAAATGAAAAAAAGGTAGGCAGTCTGATTAGGCCTAGAGGAGTACACAAGTAAAATTTTGTGAAGATAGCACTTATCGTTTTAATTCTGTGGGTGTGCCCAAAGTGGCACACTGATTGAATCGAGCTTCGAAAAGAGTGCTGAAACGAGCATTGTTATCAATGAACTGACCGATAAGATGCGGAGACTCTCAGTTGTCCTAGATTATCGGTGAGCCGGTCTGGGCGCACCTAGGGTTCGCCGTTTGATTTTATGCAAGATTTCAAGGTGAAAATTTAAAACTAATATAGAATAAGGAGATTAGTATACAGCCTAAAAAATAACATAGAAATTTCTTTTCAAACAATTTCTTTTATACCCTAAAAGAATCTGGAAGATTTCTTTAAAAAATGAGGGTCTTAAAAAACTAAACATGGCTAAAATATATGGACTGGTTTGTGTTGAGCTGCCATCTACTATAATAAAGAATGTTCAGGGTAACCTATAGTAACTTATAAATCCTTTTTCATTCAATTTGTCTGTGCGTACAGAAAGAAAATTTTAGGTGTGTCCAGAGCGGACACACTGTGATGCGAAGGGATAACGAGATGGTACGATAAAATGTGCTATTCTATACCCGCTTTTTTTTAAATTTATTACGTGCTCCGCCCTTAGGCACTACACGGAAAGGGTGGGATGCCCCGTGGAGGTCGTTTTAAGAGAAACTGGCTCGTATCCACGTTACACATGGGGAAAACCACGAAAACACCCCTGCAGCCAGCCCGTTCGCCGGGACTCGAACCTCGCACCGAACTACCAATGTTCAGCGGCTTTTACCGCTCGGCCGCTGGTGGACCTTACCCGCTGAGTGGTTGAGGGAGTATTTTTGCAATAATAGAATTTGATGCCTGTAATTTAGAAATGGGAAACTGCTATGATACTATACTTTTTTCCAGTTTCAGTTGGAACTTTATCTAGCTGTTACTGGCACCTCAAATAACCCGGCTAGGGCAAACACATATACAATACCATACATCATAGAAGAACCTTAATTAGGAACTGCAAGATAAGAGTGAGGAGATGACCCGGGTGAGTATGAAGTGAAATTACATTTAACTAAGAGGGGAAAAAGTGCGTGGTTGTGTAGTTAAAAAGAGTAGCACAAAAGGGAGCCAATTAGGGAGAGAGAGAAACTTCGGGAGAGCAGATTCTGATTCGCGGGGATCAGTCACGTGAGTGGTTATCCGCCAAAGTGCTGACCCTGAGAAACTGCTACCAAATCTTGTACTGTATGTACACGTTTGTACCCGTATTTTAAATGTAGGATCATTACTGCTTTAAACTTTATATCTCGAAATCTTGAATTTTATACACAAAAGAAGACATTAAGTGCTACTATCATGATGGGACTACTTTTGCCTGAATTTAGAGCTGCTTGCAACAGTACAAGAACGAAATACAGAATAACTGCCACACGAATCACTAATAGCTAATTACTGTCTTCAAGACATCCTACTAACACAACTGAATCTTCTTCCTGAGATGATTTGCAGCCGTGGCTCAAATTGAGGCGGTGTATTACGTTACAGAAAAGCATTTGAAGGTTATCTACCTTAAGGGGGACAGATGCCTTCATGGAGGACTTTCTAAGGGAAACTGGCTCGTATACACGTTACGCATGGAGAGAACCACGAAAATGTCTATGCAGCTAACCCGTTTGCGGGATTCGAACCTCGGTCCGAACTCGGTCCTCGGTGCGTTTAGTCAACTTTACCGCTCGGCAGCTGAGGTTAAATTTATACATTCCAGTCTAATCACAGATAGACGCTGTTTGCTTTTAATTCGCAGACAAGGCTGGTGTGTGAAAAGGCGTTCCTTTAAGCTGAGTTTAACTTTTTTGCGTAGATACATTATATTTATCTCTCAAATCTTTCTGTTTCAATCATTTTTCTGGGTCATTGCAATTTTGGATTCATGTACTTGTTTGTACTCGATTTCGGAGGGATGGAATGCCATTGCAGAGCGTTTGTTTGAATTTATCTTTATACTCTATTTTCTGTACTCAATATATGACTTAATAATCATTCATTCACAGCAACGTATGAGCTGATGAATGTTTTCTTTACGACTGCGCCGTCGTAAACTTTTGCTTTTGATCTTAGTGGATCATAATAATGCTTCACATTCTTTAACACGGTTTATATAATCATTTGAGTTTCAGGTTCCGTAAGCCTTTTCGACAACAGGAATTCTTACCCTCGAAGAAATTTTAAAAGTATTCTTTAGTAAATCTCTACCTTACAATATGAAAGGTGAGTATGTTAAATTTTAGGTGTTTCTCTAGAGAAATGTGGACGGGCAATTTCTACTCATAAATTGCTACATGCTACTTCTTCTATGATGAAAGTGGTGACCAATATTCCTTACTGTTTTTCTTTTTTTCCTGTTAGTTGCAAGTTGATTCTTGTGATACCATAGCTGATAATTTAATCAGCAATCACTGTAAAGAAATTTTGAAGTAATATTGGTAAACTAAGCATCGGGAAAGTCAACAGAAATGACATGAGATACTAGACGTGCTTCCAACATCTGAGATAACCGTTTATAGAAAAGAAACGATAAGAAAGGGCTGATGATCTGTAACGCGCCAGACAATTAACCCTTCAATGCATCCATTTTTATTTTTATTTTATTTTTTTAAATTTAAGTCAAAAATACATTAGAACTGTTATCGATTAAAATAGGAAAAATACCAAAAAAAAATACTTAGTTTTTATTGCAATGTTTTGAAAAAAATATTGTTGCCAAATATATTATGCAAAAACAATATGCTTGGCAAATGTGGGATAACAATTTTATGTAATTATACACACTTTATAAACTTGTTCAAATAATTTTAAAACTTTTAATACACCAAAATAACAACAAACACAAAATCAAAAATTCGTAAATGCAAATGATGTCTATGCCCGACACATCAACTCACAATAATGACCGTTACACAGTCAGTGGTGCCATTACACTAAAACTTTCAAAAATATAGACGTAATCAGTATGTATCCAATTCGTTACCCCATGCAGTAAGCTAAAATTTGTGTTTAGATTTGATTTACATGACTAAATACGAGTATGTTGCCAATCGGCAACTACATGCATTTAAAGGTTAGTCACCTAGAACGGGGCTTTCTAAACGTTTTTCATTCGCGAACCCTTTTTATCATTGAGATTTTTTTCGCAACCCCTGGACCTCATAAGCATTGTGTAAATCAGACACACGTGTGAGTGAAACCGTCAATTTTTTTCACTTGTACTGTAATATACTATTGCAGTTTTAGGTCATTAACTTTAATTTATAAATTTAAGCCATAGAACAATATGAAAATATTAAGTATGTAAGTAAAATGAGCGTTTATATTATAGAAAGAATGCGTCGAAACGTTTTCGCTTTTTATTTGTCTGTACCGTCTTATCTTTAGCTATTTTCAGATACATTGTGTAAAAATATTTGGTAATTGCAAAATTATTATAATAGGTTCAAGAAATATCAAAACTGCTAAAAGTTTTGGCGATCCCCAGTTTAAGAAACTCTGGTCTAGAGAATGGGCCCTGTTATTGCTAGTACACGCGTAAATGTTAGTTTCTCAGGCATTCATTCAAAGTGACTAGCACTGATCTTTGGCTCAAGAAGGAAACAAAATGGCACAAAATGGAAACAATGCATTATTACTATAACACTACCGTTTTCTTTGAGGTATTATTAGGAACAAAATATCGGAATAAAAAAAGACATGATTTCAGACATGCTTCGATTCGCATGATTCGTACCAAGTAATCGAAACAATCAAAAATATTTACAGAAAAATATGCTTGAATGTAAACTATAAAGTATAAGAAGGTCTTTATGGTGCAAGTAAATAGTTAAAATAGGCAAGAGAAAGTTATTAATGTGTGCTGCATGTGGCTTTATTTTATGTATGAAAATATTTGCATCTATTTTATAGCAAAGAAATCTCTCTGTTGGAAACGAGAATGAAGGACGCAGTATTCTCCGCACGTACCTTCAAATTCCATATTCTGCCTTCTAAGATCCGAAGTCCTTCCATGGGAAGGGAAGAAAGTGCCTGATTTATCTGTTGGTTTTATATTGGCCTAATTAACCCGTTCGGTATAAACAAAAACGTCCCAAATGGAAATCTACAGCGCTGTATGTTACATTTCTTGATATCAAAACTCTAAGCCAGGAAGTCATTACAGATTGCATTATAAAACAAGCTGGTTTGAAAATGCTTCAGTGAAGATAGTATTAATATAGAAAATAATATTGATATAAAGATAGTACTGATATTATAGCTTAATATACTGAGTGATAGCTTTGTACTAGATTTACTGGACTGCGCAATGCCCCAAATTTTCACAGTCATTGCCGATCAGGTCGACGAAAGTCAACTGAACATCTATCCAGTTCTATAAATCTTACAACTACAGATTCGCCCTTCCCGGAGTAGTTTATTGCCCTGGCTGAGATTCTTTCTCTGAAAGTTTTGCCTTGAGTATGCAACATGTACGAACTTAGTAACTATATAATCATACTTGCGGGTGAACAGCGTTGAAGACAAGTATTATACCTCAGTTGGATATTTCAGTATTTTCCGAGGTGCTTCGAGATGGTCAAAGGACCATCTCTAGCTACGGCTTGAGATTGCCCAAGGCTCGGACCCGAATAGTGTCCATCCCTTTGGAGATAATCTCCCTTGAAACTCTTCGATTCTCTTAACTTATTTGGAAACGTTTGTAGTATCTTTAAGTATTCAGAGTAAGATGGAAACAACGAATTATTATTATAACACTACCTATTTCTTTTTTTGAGGTATTATTAGAAACAAAATATTGGAATAAAAAAAGACATGATTTCAGGCATGCTTCATTTCGCATGATTCGTGCCAAGTAATCAAAACAATAAAAACTATTTACAGAAAAATATGCTTGAACGTAAACTATAAAGTATAAGAAGGTCTTTATGGTGCTAATAAATAGTTAAAACATGCAAGAGAGGGTTCTTAACTCCAATTTTTTATGAAATTTCATTAATTTTATTTTGCAAACTATTCAGTCTCGTATAATAAAACTGTATAGTTTTCATATTGTAAATTACACGTTTCGCAATTGTGTACCTACTTTCACACACAGTGTATAAATAGACGGCAACTTATACAACTGAGTATATTTTGATTTATAAGCTCCAGCAGAGATTTAAGTAACTCACAAGTTTTTCTTCTCTGAATTAAGTGAGGAACATTATTTCGTTTCTTTCTTTTAATTTTTCTTTATTTTACAAGCTATAAATTTTATATTATTATTTAGATTACTTTCATTTATTTAATTTAAAACATCTGAATTCTGCTTCCGAACCACCTTCGCAGTAAAAAAATCAAACATAATACATAAAACAGTCTATGCAATTAAGAGAATAGCTGCATACATTTTCTAGTTTGATTTAGTACGTTATTTTTTCAGAGAAAAATAAGATAAAACAAATATGCATAGTGAATATATCTAAGAAAAAAATAAGATAAAACAAATATGCATAATGAATATATTTAAGAATTTATAAGATAATACAAATATGCATAATGTTATTTCTTGCATTTTAAAATTAATACTTTATATATTTAAACATAAATATTAAAAGACGCCGTAGTTCAGACTAGCATAGAATAAGGTATAAGACTAGTATGGAAAGATTATTACTTCAGAAGTTCCAAACAGTAATTTTCTGCTGATCTTTCCTTCCATTTTGAATGGAAATCTTAAGTCCATCATTTCTACCTAGAAGAGTTGAAAATGGGCCTGATTTCAAACGGTCGTAATTTATACAAAGAAGTATAAACATTAAAGTGTGTGTAAAAGAAAATGATAGAGACCTGTTGAAGAAGCCTATACTTTAGCTCCGAACTCAACCAGTTCGATTTGGACAACAAACGATTTGTGCTAGAAAGTACAGATGAAGACACTTTTTCTACCTAATAATAAAGAAAAGAACATTAACTTAGAATTCAGTACAAGGATGTGCAGTTCTAGAAATCTCAGATTCATTCTTGAGTAGGTGTCTAGACACATACAAATAAGTTTAAAAACTCCATGAAGGATTTCTTCAATTTCTTTCAACAATAGAATAATTTTTGTATGCTAATTTTTAAAATACTATGCTAAATACACAATCGTATTGGAAATTTATTAAAAAGTATATTTGCAACCAATTGTGTATTTTGTGCTATAAATTTCCTAGATTATTAGTAATTATAGATTTAATGAATTTTTTTATATTAAATAATACGTAATGGGTTTAATGCAAAATTAATTGAGTATTCGAGTTTTCGATTGTTATTTAATTTAAATTTTGAAATCTGTTCAAGTTAAAATTGCTTAAAAACCGTACCAAAATTATTTTACCGAAGTAGTTGACTCGAAATAGTTAATATTATTTTAATAAAAATTAGAATGCATAATTTGCCAGTTCGCAGTTTTTATTTATGATATATATGAATGGCAATGGCAAGCTAATTCAGATAGAGAATTAATGGAAAATTTAAGCACTTTATTATTATAAATAAATAAAAAGTAGCAGACATGTCTTGTCTGCTATTTTTTATTTGCCTTGCCATTAAAAATCAGTACTCAAAGTACTATTTCAAAATACAAAAAGGAATTATAATTTGAATTGGTAGTTTTTGGTAGGCTTAAAGTATTTTCTCCACTTTTAACATATTTCATAATTAATATATTCAAAATTAGATATATTTAGATCCTGTTGTTAAAATCAATATAATGTGTTCCAAGTTAAACTATTTCATACGATAGCTTAGATTCTATACTCATTTGCGTGAAAAAAGCAATTTATAGAATTTTTCATCACCCTAAAAGATAAAATAAGCTGAGTAGACGGGAAAATGGTTAGTGACTCTGACAGCTATAACGAATTACCCGTGTTCAAATCCTGGAGGAGCCGTGGATGTAATATATCCGTCCCTTTATAGAAGGCGACGGTGACCCACCTATTAAGTTCCTCCATAATAAAGAGGTCACTGTTTCTGACCTCATTAGTGGCCAACGCCTATATACGGCTAAAGAAAATAAGATAAAATAAAAATAAAGAAACAAAATAAGATAAAACAAATATGCATAATGAATATATTTAAGAAAAAATAAGATAAAACTAATATGCATAATGAATATATTTAACAAAAAAATAAGATAAAACAAATATGCATAATGAATATATTTAACAAAAAATAAGATAAAACAAATATGCATAATGAATATATTTAAGAAAAAAAGATAAAACAAATATTGCATAATGCAAAAAAATATTTTTTGCAATCTCTATATATCATCATAACACTGCTCATTCACTTAATATAGTTAAATACTTTGCAATCTACATACAGTAGAGCTGTAATAATGACCCAGATTTATAAATTCAAACTTTTCACATATCAAACTAATGTCTGACATCCGCAAAATACTCTGTATTACGCAAAAGCTAAAATATTCATTTCTCAACGACGGAGAAAAAGCCTGTTTGAATTACCTCACTTGTTTAACAGCAGAATGAGAACAAGTCCACAAAATTCATCGTGGTAAAGAGTGCAAGATTGCTCCTTTCGTTGGCAAGATTCTTGAACTCCATGCAGGTGACAGTACGACTGTGGTCAGTTTCGCCCCCCTCTCAATTTCGATGGAGAGTATCCCGGGGGGGCGGACGTATCCGAAGGTCTCCAACCCCACTTTCCCTACCATCAACCTCTCTAGATTACTTTCGGCTCGTCGCATATTTAGAGTGCCCCCATGCTGCACAGACACTATATATTTACAAGCATCCATGCTTTCTCCGGGATCCGAACCCGGGCCGATCGATATAGCAGTCAGAGTCGCTAACCACTGTCCCGTTTGGGCGGCGGCGAAAGAATATTCAACAGCATATCAGCTTTACAGGAGTTTATTTCCAGTAACTTGATAAACAAGCCAATATTTCAGAATGTTGCTAAAGCTCCTGTTTAGTTGACATTGCTTTCTTATTGGCAGAAGGGCCTCACATACAGGTTTGTTACTTTGGGTTTTCCAGAGTTATATATTTATATGAATACTAGAGCCTCATTGACAGAAATCAAATTACGTCTTGTTTTGAAAGCCTATCTTTTATATTCTTTAAACTACCTAAACTTCTTCTAGATTCAGCGCATGAATTTAGCAAATAATATTTTAGGAAAACATAGTATTATAAGAAGGCTTACTTCGAATATGTAATACCTAATTACAAATGGCTGAAATTTTGAACGTAGTAAAATAACAAGAAAATGCAAACATTGAACAGAAGCTAAATGAAATAGGTCTTCACGACATGTTACTCAAATATGAACATTTAGGGAATTTTCTCTTTTCATCCATTATGGTAATATGAAATCATAATAATTAGGTTTTGAAGCAATTGCTATTCTTATAGTACATAATTTTATTATTCTTTAGGTATTTTCTGAATGTCGTATCACCGAACGAACTAACATTCGATACAATGTTAGTGTCTGTCTGCATACTTGAGAAGCGCAGAAAGCTGTTAAATATAAATAGTTTAATGTACTCGTACTTTGTAATAAGAAATAAAACATTGAACGATATTGCACAAAGCATTTTAAAGTGACTACCGTAGCTTGAATTTCTCTCTTCATTTCTGCTTTTGTCAGTGCCTCTGCTAGCAGGGGGGATGAAAACTCTTCCAATAGATAAATGCATTCTTTCCACCTAGGAATGTTGGGATCTTGTCCTGATCTGAGGTGGAATGATGGATCGATATGCCTGGAGAATGCAGAAATAAAGCGCCAACCAAAATAGAGGTAGCAGGACCTGTAAAACAATTATCGTCAAACAATGGTTAAAATTTTAACAAAAAAAGCCATAGTTAATCTTTTTTATGTCTTTTTTTAAGTCAAATGACGTTAATAGTGCTTTTAAAAATTAATACCGCTGTTTTCATCTAACGCTGAGAGCGCGTTCTTGGAAAACAAAGCCCTAAGTCAAACAACTTCTAAACGAGGTCCTTTTAAAATACAATAAGTAATGATAGCGGATGAAAGATAGAAATAAAATGTTTATTTTCCATGTTAACAAAGGATAGCTGCATAAAAAGGTAGGAGAGTTTCTTTATAAAAGCAGAACGGTTTTTTGAATCTTTTTGTAAACGAGAAACATAAATATAGGCAGCATTTTTGAGAATTTCAAGGCCCCCAGAAAATCCACTAATAAATTACACCAAGTAATAAATAAAACTAAAAGAACTCTAAGATAAAGGATAATACATATAATAAAGTCAACCAATTTAAGCAGTAGTGACTAATACAATGCATGGGATGTCAAAAAGTAATTTTACTCCTTTTAAGTATTCAAAGCAGACTATAACAATGATAGAACTCGAGCTCTGGAACGCGCCGAGTATGCTTCCAATTACACCACGAAGGCATGCGGAAAGGAGGGAGAAAATAATGTACAGTATGTTTCAAGAATTTCTCACTAAGAGAGGTTTAAAGGTCATCTTTGATACGGCTCAAAACAAGGAAACTTCTGCACTATCACCGAATCACAGTGTCAAGAACTCCACAGTATCACAGAACCACAGATTCAAGAACTCCACAGTATCACGGAACCACACTGCTAAGAACTCCATATTATCACGGAACCACAGTGTCAAGAACTCCACAGTATCACGGAACCATAGTGCTAAGAACTCCACAGTGTCACGGAACCACAATGTCAAGAACTTCACGGTATCACGGAAACACAGTTTCAAGAACTCCACGGTATTCAGAGCTCCACAGTATCATGGATACTAATAACAAAATCTGCTATGGCTAGATTGATAATTTCTTCATAAATGGGTTGCTGTTTTTCAGATGCCTAATGTAATCCTACGTATATATTATTAGTATTCTACACTACTTTTGCCTTTTTCTGTTACATTTACATGGAACATATTTAATCTTTTAATAGAAAGGAATTATAAAATAGTGCAAAACTTCAATCAATACTCTCTGGAATCTGAAATTGCTTGAGAGTGTTAATAAACTTCAATCAATACTCTCTGGTATCTGAAATTGCTTGAGAGTGTTAATAAACTTGAATCAATACTCTTTGGAATCTGAAATTGCTTGAGAGTGTTAATGAACTTCATTCAATACTCTCTGGTATCTGAAAGTGCTTGAGAGTATTAATAAACTTCAATCAATACTCTCTGGTATCTGAAATTGCTTGAGAGTGTTAATAGTACAATTGACAATTAAGAGCAGGATCCGGACAGCCGGGCGGCTTACACAGACAAGTTGGGTATTGTCGAATCACGCAACTGTCCAGAATAACGCCCTAAAACAGAAAGGTTGAATATTGCCATACAAGGGCTGGTCGTATGTGGAAAACTTTTTGTTGATACTTGCTTACATACATGAGACGAAGGATAATTGTAGGTAAACATATAAGGCATTGTGCCTTCGTGATGTGGTGGTCTGTACGCTGGGCGCGTATTCCAGAGGTCCGTGGTTCGATTCTCGGCGAAAGCTTTCCTCATTTTTCACTTCTGCTTTAAAAAAATACCTTATAGCTCGACAAACAAAATGATTCATAATAGATAAATATAAATGATACATAATCATTCAAATGAATTGCTGCATGCTATACATACGATTACTGATACTGATTCATAATACAGGAGCATACATGACACATAATCATACTACTGAAATGTTCCGTGCCATACATACACTTACTATTTTACACAATTTCTGAGTTACATAAAAATATTGAATTGTACACATCAAGCTTAGTGTGTTTTGAGTATGATCTGTATTGTGTGTAATTTGGACGTGGCGTGTGTTAGTTCAAACTGAACAGTTCATACTTTACTTACATATATGATACATATGATAATTGATAAACATACTGATTCATAATAAGCATACATAATACATAATAGATAAACATACTGATTCATTGTTAATAATATCGATATCTCGACATAACTCGACAACTTCTTAGGAACCCTTTTAAGATATCTCTAAGCCAAAGAGCAAATATTACATACAGCACATATAATTATTATTTATACGCATATCTTTCCTGTTCTGTTCAAAGATTTAAGTGTCCTTTTTCTTGAATTTTTGCCGTTTTCGCATTGTGCCATTAATTCTTGGAACTGCCTAAGAAATTTCCAGATATGTTGTAATATTAACGAGTGCGAGAAATAATCTACCATCACACGATTCTTTTCTACCAAGAACTACTAATAATTTTTCTTCATTTTTGTATGTAAGTTTTTTTATTCAATTACCTTAGAATATTTGTTGATTTTATTATTCTTATTGTGCTAGAAGTTGACATAAAATAAGCAACATTAATTTAAATGTATGCTGTACTTTCCTGTGTCCAATATTATGCTACAAATACGTAGAGTAATTTTCAGTTAAATATTAAGATTTCTGAAAAAAACCACGTCTTATTCCGTAAAAGTCGACTTTTCGGAAACTCGACAGTCACACAGTTTACATTATCTGGAGTTTGCGAGACTACGGTTACAGTTCAAAGCAAATCTAGCGCAATTTTATGGTTCAGAATAAACGGTATTATGCCAAATAAGCGCTTTATTGTATAAATAAAAACAGAACACTAACAGCGAATAAGAAGTCTACTTAAAGCCCTTCCAGTTAACATATGAGCATATTCTTTCGAGAAACGGTAGAAAAGATGGTAATTTCTTCTCCTTAAGAAGTTTGTTGAGACATTAGGATTAATTGGAAAAGCCGGAGATATGAAAAATTAGCAACCGCATTCGTCGGGAATCGACCACGGGCCTCTGGAATACCGGCCCAGCGTGCAGAACCACTACACCACGAAGGCACGTTAGGAAAACGGGAGAAATACCTTATATACTCCTTTTTTTAAAGGGCGACTGGGGTTTTTAGAGGCCCAGTCGCCAAATCCTGGGTGTGGAGAATCCTCATCCACAACCCTTTTAGTTCGGGCACCACTGTAGAGTCATTAGGTTAATTTTTTTGGAAGCAGGCATGATGAAAAATTAGCAACCGCCTTCGCTGGGAATCGAACCACAGACCTCTGAAATACCAGCTCAGTGTGCTGACCACTACACCACGAAGGCCCGCTAGGAAGGTGGGAGAAATACCTTATAAGTTAGCGAAGTGAAAAATCAAGTTTATTGTTATAAAAAAATGTCTTAATTTAAAAAATATTAAAAATGGTTTCGAGATATGTTTTAATGCAATTCATCTAAATATGCATTCTATCTAATTTTAATGCGGTCTATCTAAATATCGCTTAACTGGTTGAAAGAAAGTCTACAGCATTTCGTTCTTCCGAAACAGAACTGAAATTTTTCTATCAAAACTCAAATAATTTCTAGAAATATATAAATACATTAATTTAATGTTTCAAAAGATATACATAAGTAATAACTTTTATAAAATCAAAATCTACTTGATCGTTCTTAAAGTGAGAAGTTCCGCATATTTCCGGATTTTTTCCTTGCAATGTAATTTCACCGCATATGGTCTTGATGTACCCGCAGCCTTCCAGAAGACATTCATTACTTTTGTCCAATTCAACTGAAAAAATTTATCAATAATTACGTTTCACTAATTGTTTAAAAGAAATTAACATACATATGTACTCATCGACTAACTTTAGGAAATATAATTTTAAATAAAACTAAACCATTACGACACATACGTAATATAGTATTAACTTCCCATATTGCCATCTTTCAATTACGCAAAAAATTAATTATGATAAGGAGCAGAAAAGAAAATCAGAAAGGCAAAACTATTTAAAATTCTCATGAAGTTTCAACAGGTAAATTATACATATATACACGAGTATTCATTACTGCACAGCAATAAAGTCGTCTGTGAAACCAAATACATAATGATGTTCCATAGTTTTTGAGATTTCATCACATTATGATTGGTCTGCATCGATTGGTAATATGGAACTTCAGCGCATGGAAGGCTTCAAAAATTTTAAATAAAGAAACAGTATTATATAGAAATTAAACCTGTTTCTATTAACATTTGTGCGAGGAGATTCTAAATCCTCCCCCACAAGTTAAAATGGCTTCAAAATCTGCTTTATTACTGCTCTGAAGGTATTAATTCTTTCGCATCGAAATGGGCCAAAATATGTTCCCCTCAAACATCTAAAACGCCTGTGTGTACGAATTTCTGTTGGGATGGATTTTCTCCCCCCCCCACTCTACCAAGTAGAATGTTATAGGGTTAACAATAGCCTACTTAAGTGAAGTGATTACTTCTCTCTTAGGGATCTTTGTGCGGTTTCAACCACTGTGTGCAGTTTTCCTTTAGGATATCATTGCTAATGCGAACATCAATGCTAAACATTGATGTTAAATAAGGGGCAGGGAAGTCGCTTCAAAAATGATTGGCACATTATTTAACAATTCCCGAAACCATGCACTAACGTGATGGGGGAAAGCGCAAGGTAGAAAATGAACGCAGGCGTTCCGGCGACCTTCCGATGTCTGAATGCACGGGTGTTACGGGCGCCTTCACTGTGAAAAAGTTAATAAAAGACATGATTAAGCAGACTTCGTAAACATTGAATTATCGTCAGTGCGTTTTAATTAATTAAACGGTTTCATTTCACGCATTATTCACTCTATAAATTTAAATATAAATCGATTCAGTAATTTTGAATATCTTGAATCATAACGATTTACGCCATTATATGATTATTTACTTCATAGGAAAATATTGGGACAAAAATATGTGTTTACACACATTATGGGATATCGATGTAACATCGTATATCAAGAAAGACTTCAAGATTATTATGTATGTTTCTTGATACATCAATGTATCAAGAAAGGCTTCAAGATTATTTATCTGGTAATCTTCGATTTTATAAGACTTTCTTCAATATTAAGTTCTTTTTCAATAATTAATAGTTTTTCTTCAATAATTAATAGTTTTTCTTCAATAATTAATAGTTTTTCTTCAATAATTAATAATAATGTCTTCAATTGAAGAAATATTATATTTCTTCAATTATGTCATTTCTTATTGCAGTTTTGACCATTCTCACTCGCAGTTTAACACTGTTCGTTTCGACAACGATTAAATGAAATTTTTTTTTATCATATTAACTACTATGCTGAGTTCCTTTCCGCACAAAATTGAAGCGTTTTTATTGCTGTAAAAATCTCAAAACTCGCGAACTTCTCACTTTCTGTCATAAAACGAGAAAAATGTATGCATACTTTAAGAAATACGTGTTTCCAAATCTTAGGATTCAATACCTACCCGAAAAGAAAACGGGCTGCTCCAGATCTGGAAATTTTTTAACTGACGAGTTAAATGAGATTTTTAATAGACCACATCGTTACAAGTTTTATTACACGAAGAAGCCGAGAAAAACAGCTAGTAAATAAATAAGTCATTTTAAAATGCACTTACATGAGGTATGAATTTATCTAATTCCCTCAGAGATTCTTGAGGAGATAAAAGATAGGAATCCGTACATTTCTTTTCATCTGTTTTCTGTAATGAAGAAAGCAGTTACCTTTTAAGCAATGATGTGGAACGGATGTTATAAGTTGAATTTCAAAATCATTTGTGTTTAGTTAAAATTTGACCGCTTTCAAGAGAGTTTTGGATGAAATGTAAAAAAGATCCTTTCCCCAGTAAAATATGTAATTTTTTCCTTTAATGATACGAGTTAGTTCATATTAATTAGCTGGCACAAAAGAACATAAATTTGAGTTTTAAAACAAAGTAAAATTTCAATTTAGATTTTAGCAGATTTTATAAATAAGCTCATTTCAAAGAAGGTTGATAAAGACCTTTTTCACAAAGCAGAATAACAGTTTGTTGATTACAACTGCAAATAATTTAAACTCATCATATAAAGATAAATAAGTTAGGTTATAGGTTAATAAATATATATTGCGTCAGTCCATGAATTCGTGCGCATTAAGAGTATGCGTGGAGTTCACTATGACGCATTTTCTAAAACAATACAATTTTGAACCTGTTGAAACTTGTCATCGTTTGACTAACATATTATTCAGTTCATCACCAACTTTTATAAATATCGAACGCATTTTAGTAGCCATAGAATATAGATAATCAGTACAAACGTGCTGTGCTACATTCTTTATTTTCGTGCGGTGAATCTGCAAGGTTTGCAGCGATAAAAATTAATAGTGTACATAATGAACACTCTATTAGTGTAAGGACTGCCCAGAAATGGTTTAAAAAATTTAAAGTTGGAAAAAGCAGCATGGATGATGAACCCCGTTCGGGACGTTATGAACTGTTAGAACCAAATCAAACGATTCATTCAGAAGTTTATAGTGAACAACTTTGCCGTCTAAACTCAGAATGGATCAAAAAATGCCCACGATGGGTGAATATCAAGAGTGTTGTTTCATCGTGATAACGCTAGACCGCATACGGCTCGAACAACGCTGCAAAAAATGAGTGAATTTAATTCGAAGTTTTCGCCGCATCCTGCTGACTCCCCAGATATTGCCCCAAGTGATTTTCACTTATTTCGTGCCTTACAAAATATTTTACTGGGAAAAAATTAAATTCTAAACAGGATGTACACAATGATCTTTCAGGTGTTTTTTGCATCAAAACCAGAGTCCTTCTACAGCAATGGCATAAAAAATGCTGCCTGTAAGATGGCGAGACATTGTAGATAATGGAGAAAAATATATAATTGATTAAAATGTTAACCTGTGTTTTTTTGTATTATTTAAAAATTTACCAAAAAATGCTCAATTTGTGGACTGACCCAATATATAAACGAAAGTAACAATTGTAGAGAAATTTTATTGTTTAGATATCATTACATTTATTGGTATTTTTTAGTCCCAAGGGGCTTTGTCCCTTAGGGACTGTTGTTTTCGTTTTGCGATTTTGCGTCGAATGTCTGTTTCACTTTTCAAACAGTTGCCACCAAGTATTATCACCCTGTATTATATTTAAAGAAATTAAATAATGAAGAATCTGCATAAATGTATGTATGTTTCTTGCAATATGATAAAGCAACGGTACATAGAGCCATCGAATTTTGAGTGACGTAATCCAACTGCGAATATGCGCATCTGGAAGCCCAAACCTGAAATCTGGAATTTCTTTTATTATAGATTTTATATTTTGTAAAACTTTAACGAATTTATGATTAACAAACTCAGGGATTTCTAAGCGAGCAATGGCAACGTTGTACAGAAAAAATGTTTTCATCTCCAGCGCCGGAGACTGTATCGGAAATTCTAAAGATAGGCTCAATTTACAACTATTTTGCGATACTGCTCTTGAACTGAATTTTATGGTTTAAGTGAGAAGATTATGATATTTAATAAATAAAGGTAACACACAAAATGTTCAAAACACTCCTTTGGAAGTAATTTAAAATCTGAAACCTTTCAGACTTTCTTTTTTATTTTATTATCATTGATTTGCTTCCGCTACTTAAACGATTAACTTAATGAGTAAAGTGGCATAAAATATGGTTCCCCGGGTACGGGGTTGTAATAGAAATAGAGTGCACACAAAACTGGTGATGGCGTGATAAAATTTATTTTACCAAAAGCAGCACTTTGTTGTTCTGGAACATTACACAAAATTTCTCGTATATCTCCTCTTGGTAATCACAGGGCAATAATAATCCAAAGTGTCCTAGAATCTATATGAAAGAAAATTTTGAATCCCAGATGTTGCCTAACTAACACCTCAAGAAGAATCTCAGAAACTGAAAATGATTTCAACAATGAAATATGGCGAAAGGAAAAATTATGATATCCAAGGGCATGTCGTTCACTGAAACCGTAATTTTAAGGTTATTGTTGATGTAATGAACCAGTAAAATTATACTTATATTTTAAAATGATGTTTGATATCATCACCACAAACTTTAGTCTGTATAATAGCTGCAAATTCTACAAGAGCACAAGTACTTTGCTCTAGATATGGGAATATAGAAAGTGTTTAATTTTACTGAATTATTCAAAATATTTCAATACCTAGATTAAAAAAACCATCGGTTATATTTCATAAGCATATACATGAAATTAGAAGACAACGTGTTTTTAAACAAAGCTGAAATTATCAAAGCTGGGCTAATTGAAGAACTTGAAAGAAGGAATAATTAAGCATGCAACTAATCAGCACCGAAACGATAAAAAATGTTTTGAGAACGGACAAATTCTAATTGTTCGACTAATCAAACAAAATATTAGAATTTTTTAGCCCAAACGGGGGGTGGTGGTCCAGGAGGGCTATTAGTCTCAAAACGACATTTTGTGGCATTTCACTATAAACGGCGAACAACTTTTTAAATTGTTGCCACCAAATATTATCGCCCTGTAATACATTTAAAGAAATTAAATAATGAAAAATCGGTATGAATGTATGTATGTTTTTCGCATTTGTGAAAAACAACGGTATCTAGAACCATCAAATTATGAATAATGTAATGCTTCATCCAAACATGAGCCCTTAGTTTCCGAAGTTTGAATTTCGAATTTACTTCATTATCTACACTCTATAACAACAATTTAAAAAAAAATAATCGACGCGCCAGGAAGGAATCATCCAATTGCTTTGAAATTTCGTATGGATAAATATTTTGACCAAATATGGAAATGATTAAATTTAGTGTCCAATGAATGAATAATGCATCGGTTTCGCATCCAGCGCATCGGAACTGCTCATCCAGTATATAAGATTCTTGGATTGTTGTTAATGGTGTGTATATAGCTTTATTCTTGTGAACCTTTTTCTACTGTGACAAACTATGCTATTCCATCATATAATCACTTGCCAATAATTGCTTATCCAAAGAATAGTATTAAAAAATTTTTCAAAAATGCTTCACGATGCAACGTACAAGAGATGGCGCCACCGGTTCACCAGCCTACTAAGAAGCTTTTCATTTCCGAAAATAGATGGAGACACATGAGCACCCTCGTATCTTCTAAGTTTACTTATCTCAACATATGGCGGCACTGGAGCCTCCATTAAAAATCTCTGATTTCTAACACATGTGTACAAGTACTTTCCATTCTAGTGAATTCAACTCCCTTTGATTCTCAAGATTTAAAAAGGTCAGAATAATATATTGGTAAAGCCCGCAATAGGCCGATTGCTTCTTACCCGAAGTTAAGACATAAGTCTGTTTATTCTCCCATCAATAAAATTTCGAGTTTCATACTCAAGGACCCCATTCCGGATATAAATTCCTGGGGTAATTATACATTCCTTGCCAGTGTGGTTTAATTTATATTGGCCAAACTAAAAGAGCCATAAAATTTCGCGTCAAGGAACATGAGGCATATGTTAGAAAAAAGGAAAGAAAGAAGTCTTCTGTGCCCGACATTGTTGGTCCGAAAATCACACTTTCAATTTCTCTGCTGCCAAAATTCTTCAAAAAACATCTTCCATTGGAGAACTGGATTTTCTAGAGGCATTTCACATTCAAAGAAATCTTTCTGTTCTAGTTAACTATCCTAATTTCAATCCATCTTTGCTTTCGGCCTTTAAAGAAATTATGTTTTAGTTCTGATTTCATCAACAGATAGCGCCACTTGCTAATTCTTGTCCAGGCTTTCTTATTTAATCATTATATCCTACTTTGTTCACTTGCGCTTTTGCAGCTGAGGGTGGTGGTTCGGTAAAACCATCGAAACTAGGCCTGTGAAAATTTGAAAATATAACGCTGAATTTTGTTGTTTGACTTCTGAATTAGTATTTGTTCGGCGTGTTATTTTGTCTTAACATAAGACTGTTGTTAAAAAAGTCTGTTGCATTGCGATTTAGGATAGTTTTCAGCGACTGAAAAAAAATGTCTCGCCGCAGAATTTGCACTCATTGCGAGCAACTGTCACAGTTTGAAAGAGGTAATATCATTGGATCGTAAGAGGCAGGTTGTGCGACTCGCACACGAGTGTCCACCGTGACCATTCACAGACGGTTGATAGAGAGAAATCTACTCTCGTACCGACCATTACGCCACCTGCTACTCACGCCTGCACATTGTTGAGAAAGATTACAGCGGTGCTTGGCTTGATCAGGTTGGAATGATGCTGACCGGGGACGTACAGTCTTTAGCGACGAATCTCGCTTCCAACTGCGTCGTGACGATCAGCGCATCTCCAGAGATCTTCAGAGCGACTTGCCGATCCTGCTTTCACTATTGCACTCCACACAGGCTCTCAGCCAGAAGTTATGGTCTGGAGTACGATTTCTCTTGACAGCTGGACCCCTTTGGTCATCATTAGAGGCACACTTACAGCGCAGCTGTATGTCGACGATCGGGCCTTATTTTTCAACAAGATAATGCTAAATCACATACGGCACGTGTTGCTACGAACTGTCTTACAGCTTGTCAAACACTTCCTTGTCCAGCCAGATCGCCTGATCTCTCTTCCATCGAGAATGTCTGGAATATAATGGAAAGGCGACTGCATCTACCAGGGAATGTTCCAGACCTAGCCAGTCAATTGGAGAAAATTTGGCGAGAAATACCGCAGGAGACCATTCAGCAGCTTTATCAGTCTATGCCACGTTGTGTGGCAGCTTGCATCGAGGCTACAGGTAGGTCAACACCTTATTTAGCTCGTTACTTTGTAACTCTGTAACTCTGAAATAAATCATTCAATTGTTCTGAAATTTAAAAAATTTTTTATTCTGTACATAATCTTCCTATCTACTAATTTTTGTCTTCATCGGACAGTTCCTTCTTGGTGCGTCGATTTTTTTTTTTTTTTTTTTTTTTTTTTTTTTTGTTATAGAGTGTATTTCATATTTTATAAAACTTTAGCGAATTTTTGATTAGCAAACTTAAAGATTTCAAAGCGAGCAATGGCAAAACTTTTCAGAAAAAAACATTTTTATCTCCAGCGCACGAGGTTGTCTACTGAAAATTTTAAAATGAGGCAGTTTTTAGATATTTTTAGCCCAAAGGAACGGGAGCCCAAATGCTCGTGTTTGCGTATGTAAGTAAAAAAAAAAAAAAAAAAAAAAAAAAAAAAAAAATATACTTTTTGGCTTAACACAAAATCTGAAAGCTTTTAGATTTTTTTTTAAATTAAATAGTTGTTTCGGTTATTATTTTTTTGATAGACATAAACGATCACTTTTGTGATAGAAATAAACGATCAATTTTGTGACAAGGGTTTCCTGCGTAAGGGGTAAAATATTAGTTTTTGACCCATTAGTTTAGTTCAGGAAACGTAATTAGCGTAAACAAAATACTAAAGAAAAGCATGCTTCAAAGAAAACTACCTATTGTACGAGTCATTAAGCTAAGGGGTGTTGGAAGCTAAAAATCTTCAAAAATTCATATTTTGAAATTTTTGCATTTTCAAATTCTCTACACTTTTACCTTTCTAAAAATACCATACTTTAATCTCTAGGAAAATTAGAAACTGTAAAATTCTAGTTTTAATTTATCATCAAATGTTTTTACATAAAAATGCTTTTTCTCCAAATGTTATTTTTTTATACTCGATGTATCTTTTTTCAGAAACTACTGTTCACACGGATGTAAATTTTTTATGCCTTTCTTATTATGTTTCCTAATGTTTGTTAAAATGTGATAAACTAAGAAAAAAAGTGTTTACAATTTTCATTTGTGAAAAATGTGCTAAATTTTACTATGCCTAATATAATATTCTATAAATTGCTGTAAAATTAAATTTTTCAAAAGCTCATTTCAGTGTAATCGGAAAGGTGTGCTTTAATTACATAAAATTTCAAACGCATATCTGTAGCATATTTTGAGGAAAGGTGCATCGAAAATGGTCAGTTTAAGCATTTTCGGTATAGGGTGTTCTGACTTTTATCAAGTAGCACATGACGTAGTAAAAACGTTGCAAACGGGTCCGAAAGGTTGCAAAGTTGTCATGGTAACGTCTTTGCTACGTCATGTGCTACATAGGTTATTAATGAAAGATAATATATAACTATAAAATAATAAAAAAGAGAAACATGGTTCATTACTCTCTTTTTGAAGTTTACTACTAAACTAAATTTTGTAATCATTTTCATTCTGCCTCTCTCTTTTCCCCGTATTCTAAGTGAAACATTGAAAAGGAACTTTCGCTTTATTAGTCCAAAGGGTTAGTTATTTTCCTTTTGGCATTTTGCGTTGTTCACCATAAATGTCCGAATCACTTTGGACATCAATTTGGTGGCACTAAATTGTTGCCACCAAAATTTCTCGCCTTGTATTTTATTTAAAGAAATTAAATAATGAAGAATCTGCATAAATGTATGTATGTTTCTCGCACTGTGATAAAATAACGGTACTACAGCCATCCAGTCGTGAATAACGTACGTTTCCACCCGAATATGGGCATCTGGAAACCTACATTTGGAATTTGTTTTATTATCTGTTACATATTTTGTAAAGCATTAACGAATTTTTTATTAACAGACACATCGATTTAAAAGCGAGCAATGGCAACACTCTACGGGGAAAAAAACCTTTTTATCTCCAGCGCCCGGAATTCTGTAATGGAAATTCTAAACCATATTCTCATTTTAAAATTATTTTGCGATATTGCTGTTGAACTGAATTTTTATGGTTTAAATGCGAAGAACATGATTTTTAATAAATAAAGATAACAGACATAACGTTAAGAAAACGCCCCTTTGGATATAATTTAAAATCTGAAACCTTTCAGAATTTTTATCATTATTATTATTAATATTACAAATTCAAACAACCTTTCAGAAACAAAATAAAATTTTAATTGCACAAAAACTTGATTTTTAATTAATGTGACAGTTGCGCATGATACACTGATGAAATTTTCAAACATAAAAAGATGCTTTATTTTTAAATCACGTCACTCAAAGATTTCTTGTCTCCATTCTAATTGGGCGTTTCGTATTTTTACTTCCTCATACGAAGTAATGGAAGTAATACAATCGCGAAAAAATTTCAGCTATCATATTTCAACAAAAATATGCATTTTGACCGCTATCGAATAGAATTTAACGATGTTTTTGTGTGATATCTCTACGTAAGGACAGAATAACGGACTCTGTTTCTTATTAATAGATTTTCTTGATTATCTTTAAACATAGAAGCACTTGCAGATGTGGCTAATCTGAACATCATGCCATTTACATTTACCTCCAAGATGAAATACTTTTCTTTCTACTCTATCGTCACCTATTTGCAATATAAAAATAAAGGCATTTAAAACTTGCATTTAACCTTATGCGTTGGAGATAATATTATATTAGTGGAGCTTTAAGTACAGAATGTAGTGCGAGCTTTTAATATCCGAACAAAACAATTTGTACTAATACGTGTTGCCAAAAAAATATACAAATGTTGTTGCACGATACGTTACCAAATCAATAGTAGCAATGTCAGCTTCAAAAGCTAAGATATCGTCAGCAGCTTCACGTGCTCTGGGTTCTGAAGCTCCAAGGAAGAGGAAAAAAGAAATCATTTGGAATCTCCTTCGTTGATCATCCCGTATATCACTTTCTGAACGGCCTGCCTCTTCAGGACCACCAGGAGAGAGCTGAAAATGAATGAAAACTTTGAATACACATTTTTAATAGCTTTTTCATAATCGGGTGAAAACCATGCATGTGCTCAAGCGGACAGCCTATACGCCTCTCTGCCAGAACAGATATCAAAGAAGGGGATGTCATGAAGAAGGCTTATGTGTGCGATGTTGCAAGTCAAAAGAAACATTATATTATTAGATTTATGTGAATGATATCTGTTTATTTACATGGCAAGGGCTGTCCGGTACTACATAGGTATGATTTATGGAATTGCCCACTTCATGCGCATGTTAATATACCAAAATATATCTCTCTCTCTATATATAAGATATCTATATCTATATCTATATCTATATATATGTGTGTGTGTAAGATAAAAAATATAAAAGAAAACTTCTAATTTTAATTGGCTATAACCTCTTTTTTTTATTCACCCGTTGGTGAGCGGGTGTTAAAAAATAGTCCCAAAGTAGCTCATGCATGTCGTAAAAGGCGACTAAAATGGGCACCCAGCGTCTGGGGGTATAGCCGGGCAACATGCAACATGGGATTATATCATAGGACTGGTCCTCCAGGTTGGGAGTTGAGCGTGGGGCCAACTACCCCATCCCGTAAAAAATCTTACTGTTAAGAAATCCAAGGATAGAAGTAGCCGGACTGCTTCTACTGCAAAACGAAAATGGCCTAAGGACCTTTCGCTTTGGAACCTGGAATATCCGAACAGTGTACTATAGTAGGGGAGTGCAATTTCTTGTAGACTTAGGTGGCTTGACTGTTTTGAAAAAGACTTAAGAATTTTAAAAATAACCAATTGGATGTCCATGGCCAGGGATAGAAGAGTTTGGAATTCGATTCTGAGAAAGGCAAGGGCCCATCCTGGGCTGTCTGGCCATTGAAGAAGTAGAAGAAAATAACCTCTTTTGTTTATTATTTCATTTGAGAATTTCATATCTCTGACCTCATAACATACCTTGAGCTGTATTCTTCCAGAAAACGTACTAATAAAAATGACTTGGCTTGTACCCTCCGGCACACCTTGGTACCGGGTTGAATCCCCTGGTGGATTCCTCGCTATGAACTGTGACAGATGCATCCAGACAGCACTCTCCCGCTTTCTTAGAGGCCATTTAAGAAGCCTTGCCTTCCAGAGAGGTAAAAAATCACACCCGATTTTTCCGAAATGTTGCAATGAGCAGGCTTCTCCAGTACACATCCTTAAGTGTCTGGGTTTATCCTACGACGACCTGGTTAAGTTTCCTGTGGTAGTCTATGACTTTTTGAAAGTGAATACACTTGTGAATCTCGTCCAGCAGAACCTGGACTTGAGGATTAGCAACAGCACATATCTCTGACCTAAAAATAGCGCTGTAAGTCTAAACTGCGTCATTCAAATTAATCATGTGATCTTATGTAATGCTTAATGCAGATATCTCTTGCCCAATCAAAGTAATTTGTAAAGCAAAACCTTATTTGACTTCTTTCCTTCTTCCTCTGAAGTACTGCGACACTCTTCCTATTTCCGCTTAAGCTTTCATACTGTTCAGACGCTGTTACAATCACGCTTTTATCGCCATAGTGCGATATGCGACGGAGGGCGTGGGCACCATGCCTCTACCATTGAGGTTAATTGGTATAGCGCCACGTTCACCTATATCTAGAGATACATTTTGTAATTCATATTACAACTGCATTGACATTATTTGCTTAATGTATTACTGCACTTGACAATACATGTTTAACCTTTAAAACACTATTACGTTTAGAACACTGTTACTGCAATACACACATACATTTTACAACTGCTTATATACATTATGTTACACATTACAACTTTTTTAAAAGCACTATCATTAATTTCTAATACGCTCTTGCTTTACATTTATAACACTTTCACGTTTAGAATTCTATTATTGCAATACACATTTACTTTTACGTCTGCTATCTGCTTATGTACATTATGTTTACTTCACTGCTTCTGTTAATCACTGCATTAATTATTACATTTCAATCTAATTGCTTGAGTACACACTTACATTTACTACTGCATACATACATTACATTACACATGACAAATTAAAAAAAAAATCATTAATTTTTAGAAACACTCTTGCTTTTTTTTTACATCTACTTGTTTGTTTTACAATTATAACACTTTTACGTTTAAGACACTATTATTGCAATACATGCTTATATTTACGTCTGATTATGTACGTTACGTCTAATACACTGCTTCAGCGAATCACTACATTAATTATTGCATTTCCAGCTGCTTATATACATTACATTACACATTAAAATATATTTTAAAACACTATCCTTAATTTAAAAAAAAAAAAAAAAAAAAAAAAGCACTTGATTTACATTTATGAGATTTTTTACATTCAGAACACTATTATTGCAATATACGCTTACAATTACGTCTGCTTATGTACATTACGTCTAATACACTGCATCAGGTAATCACTACGTTAATCACTGCATGTCACTCTGTTTTCATAAGTACACACTGACATTTACAACTGCTTATATACATTGCTGTAAATTAAAATACTTACATACAGTGTTACTAAAGACATATATTATGCACCTGGCACCGAGAGAACTGAGTATTAAGCAAATTAGGTCTTAAAAATTTACTTATTTGATAAACTTTAACTAAACTCTCTGGCAAAACAGCCCTAGTGGGCTAAGGCCTTCAGTGCCCGAAATTTGCTTTCCTGACCGTGGGCCCCGGGGTGCTTGGGCATATTCCCTGAACAAGTGGTCAGCTTGTCGCAGGGCCCCCGGTGTTTAGTCCCCAAGATACCCACTGGTTTCAAGGGAGGAAAGGCGAAGTCAACTTGCCCAGCCCAGGGATCGAACCCTGGACCTGTGGTGCTTCTGCGCAAAGCTCTAGCCACTGCGCCACTGGGCTTCATTTGATAAACTTACAATAGTTGTAAGAACATTAGCATTTTGACATTTCGGAAGCAACTCTTTTTGCTTCTATTCAAGTAACGGGAATCAGGTGCAGTTATTTGAGTAGGAAAGAAGTATACCTGGTAAAAGAATTTAAACTTTTATAAATGTGAAAGGTGAAACTTTAAGACAACACTGTTTGTTATAGAAAACGAGTAAAGTCTAGGTAGCGTGGCCTTGCTGTGATCATTCATGGTTTATGATTTTGAACTGAAATTATGATGCTACATATGCATGAAAGTTATGCGTAGTTTGGAAAATTCATTTTCAAAGGATTTCAGTCTTTAAATCTGCATCCTGTTGCATAGGTTATATGAATTTTCTATTTCCTGCAGAGCTGAGGATGACGTCATGAAGCTTAAAAACGAAAATGGAGTCAAAGAAGAGGGTAGAAATCCGGAACGAATCAAAAATCGAACTACTTTTTAACGTATTCAATATTGCTGAGTTTACACCTTTGATTTTACAGTGCTTCACTGTCAGAGATTCTTGAGGCGTATCTGGAGTCCTTGTGCTTTTCGATCAGTGCTATTGGACCATCCTTGTGTCCACCCTTTCCCGGATTTAATCATCTACTTAGTGATGGTGACTATGTGGACTTTCACTGCGTTTCGTTATTTTTTTCGAATAACAGCCATCTCTCTCGCATCGGTAGAGGCCAAATTCTGTTTCTATCTAACATCTGAAACGTCAGTAAATACGAATTATGTTTGAGATGGAAATCCTTCCCACATGCGAAGTAGAATGGTACAGAGTTAATATTAACCTACTTATGTAAAGCGATTACTTCTCTTTTGGGATCTTTATGCCGCTTCACCAACTGTATGCAGCTTCCCCTTAGGACAGGATTACAACCGCGAATATTAATAGTTAAACTATGGAGAGGGAAGGTGTGTTCAAATAACAGAACTACTTTTAGTAGCTTCAAAAGAGAATGACCGACATGCCATTTAACAACTCCCGAAAGCAATGAGTTATGCACTAACTTGACGGGGGAAAGCACGAGGTACAAAATGAACTCGTGCGTTCAGGCGAAGGGCCGATGTCTGAACGGTTGGGCGTTTCTGGAGACTTCGATGTGAAGGAGTTAATACCTGTCTTCATGACACAAATTCATTTTATTTTTTAATATGCTAAAGAATATTATATAGTCTCGTACAACTGGTAAATTAAGGAAAGTTGGTTATTTCTCTAAGTGCTTTATTTTCCAGAATTTGTATTTTTACACTCATTAAGTTTTAATTAGAAGAAAACTGCTACCGAAGTTTCAACTCATACGCAGAGACATCATTGTTTAAAATCTCTAAATTGTTAGTTCTAAATTAGGTATTAGAATCTAGATGTCTAAAATATCGTAGGATATAAATTACCAGAGCATGATAGTCAAATTTACAATTTACAATCGCACATAAATTAAAAGAACGCAATATTCTTAATTTAATGCTAAGGACAAATGAGTTTTACCTTTAAAATATACGAGTGTGGAATGCGGTCATCTGGAATAACTTCGGCCTTAAATACAACAGGAATGCCTACTAGATTAAGACTAGCTAATCTCTCCTCTAATGACGATTTTGCATCTTTGTCGTAGAAATCGTCTATCACTGGCCATGTATCGACGCCATATATTGACAACAAAGATTGAAGTGTATATTTACCCCTGGAAAATTCGTGTTTAAGACCTCCTAAAGGAAAAGACACTTAAAATGTAATGGTAATAAAAATGAACAAAATCGTTACAATAAATGAACCAAAAGTGTTAATTACCGTAATGTAAGCACACGTTATATAAGGATTTTGCTTTATCGAAATCTTCTACATCTGTAACTGCTGGTGATTCCAATAGTCCTAATTAAAAAAGTAACTTTTACAAAAAAGAAATCTAAATTACGTATTAACAACTTATTACATATATAAGATTATATAGGAACGTATTCCACAAATTTCAAATGAATAGGAAGATACGTGAATAAAAGAAAAACATATAATTAATACGTAATTACTATTAATAATTTTATAATTATTTCAATGTAATCGACAAAATGGTAAAAAACCAAAAATTGTCATGGATAATTTAAATTTAATAATCACTTACGTTAATTTCCTGGATTTTGGATACGCCTCCAAAACAAAAACATATTTCTGATTAACATAATATTTAAGCATATTTCCTTTTAAATCTAAGTGCAAACGTACTGGTAAATAGAAGCACTATAATTATAAAAAAAAATAATTTCTCTAATAAATAGAATTTCGAACAGTTTCTTTTCTGCAAGTTTCTCCAAATATTACGTTTTTGCTTCTTAAATTGTACATTTCCTCACTTTTTAATTCTAAGTAAATGTTGGAAGTGAAGAATCTTAAGAACTGATAAGTAAATATTCGCTTAAGTTCGGGTGACAAGAAACAACAAGATAGAAGGGTAACTAACCCTTTATTATTCCAATAAGATTTAAGAAAACTCCGCCTGGGAGTGTACAAACAAAGCCCTCACTTGGGCTTGAACTTAAGAGACTAAGAATTAAACTAAAACTAAGATTAACTAAAGAAATATATCCGAAGCTATCAAGATTCAAATCGAGTTGACCCCTTAACTTATTTGACTACGAAGCTTAGCAAGGGCCTGAATACGGCCGAGCGTAATAACAGCTTTGAGAGAGAGAGAGTGGCCAAAAGGCAGACGCACGTAGAAACTATGATTCTCTCTCCCTCTGTAAGTAACTTCGTGGTTAGATTCCAAAACTATGTTCTGGCCGGAAGTAGTAAGTTGAAGTTAAGAATTTAACAGGAAAGAAACTTTAACTTAAAATTTAACTGTTCAGAAAATTAACATAATCCTTACAAAGTATTTATGAATTTGTGGTTTAAAATAATTCTAATACTTGTTTTTTGAAAATTATAAGAATTTGATGTTTAAAATACATATAACAATCCGAGATTTAAGTTTCTGAAAGATTTTATCACGTGTTCATTCACTGACGGATTTTAAAAAAAAATTCAAATTTAAGGTAATTTAGAAGTGCACCAATTGAAATTCTAGCGATAAATTTTTCCGATATTTCAAAATTTTACCGAAGTCAAATATTTCCGATATAATGCAATCACGTTCTTTAGCCGTAAAAGTAAACGAAGGGAGAATACCAAATTGAGTAAGATTAATGAAAGTGCTAGAAACTGGCCACAATGCTTTCTATAATAAAGGGTTAAAAGAGGGCAAGAAGAGAAATTAAGCAATTGCTTTTATCTGAGAATGGAAAACATAACAAAAAATTTTTCTTTTTATAGATGGGTGAGAAAAATTAGGTTAGTACTTGAATCATTTGCCTGTGTAAAAAGCTTATTATGGATATTGAAATCCTGAAGGAAATTTAGTTCCTAAATGAGGAGAGTTTGGAGGATGGTTTTGGCAAAAGTAAAATTGTATTTGTGGTTTGTAGTTCAACAGTGCAGGCATTAGATGATTTACCTTGATGCTTTTGGCAGAAGTAAAATTGTATTTGTGGCTTGTAGACCAACAGTGTAGGCATTAGATGATTTACCTTGATGCTTTTGGCAGAACTAAAATTGTATTTGTGGTTTGTAATCCAACAATGTAGGCATTAGAAGATTTACCTTGATGCTTTTGGCAGAAGTAAAATTGTATTTGTGGTTTGTAGTCCAACAGTGTAGGCATTAGAAGATTTACCTTGATGCTTTTGGCAGAAGTAAAATTGTATTTGTGGTTTTAGTCCAACAGTGTAGGCATAAGAAGATTTACCTTGATGCTTTTGGCAGAAGTAAAATTGTATCTGTGGTTTGTAGTCCAACAGTGTAGGCATTAGATGATTTATCTTTTCTGTTTGTCCAATGCTAATCAAACCGCACTAACAAAGAAGACCATGAATGCTCCAAGAATTCATACCATAATTGCGTATTTCAGAATCGTGTCAGTGAACACAACTAAAAACTTTATTAAAAGGAGGACAGGGAAAGGGAACATAATTTCTGTAAAATACGCTCAGTTTTGTAACTGACTACGAGAAAAAAACAGGATTTTGCTTGGTTTTCTTCTTCCTCTTTCTCCAGTCTTTATTATAGAAGGCTCGTTGCAAGTTTCTAGAGCATCCTTGAAATTCCTTCCAGTTTTGGACTTGTTTTACTTCTCTTTCATTTAATTACAACTTAAAAAGGCGAGCGCGTTTAATAGCTGAGAATGCTTCGGCTAAAACAAAATAAACTTCGAAAAAACTAGTATATTTAAAAAAATGTTATTTAGACAAAAATTTACGTGCAAAATAGTATAATGAAAAAAAAAAAAAATTCATTTCGTTTCAGGAGAAGTCCGATTTTGCATGTTAGAACAGAGTCATACGCTCATGTGCTCAAAAGTCTTTGTCAGGACTTTATACTGCCAGTCGTTGGTCACAAATATATACTTCCAACTATAGAAATGTTTTAAATGACAGAGATTTATGTTTCCGTACTTTTAAATTAAAATAAAAATAATTGTATACAAAATACGAAATATAATTTTTTATACGTTCCTCTTATCTCTATACTAATATTTAGGAAATTAAACAGAAAAATTTAGTCCTCTACGGCAAAAATTGTCCGAGATATTTAATTTTAGAATTTGCGGTGTCTGACGTCATTTCGAGTTTGAGTCGAGGGGTATGTTGATAAATAAATTAGAATAATTTGGGATAAATCCCCCCTCTTTAAATGCCATTAAAGGATTTATTTTGTATTTTACTAGTGTCTTTATTTATAATTTTATTATATTTGTTATGCCAAAAACTTTTAACGCAAGTAATTTAAAAGCTTTCAAAGTTTAAAAATATGTTATTAATATTCTAATGCAGTTTTATTACTTTTGAATCTCAATCTGGTCATACTAAAAAAAATTCATTTAAGTAGAAATATCTTTCATGTTTAGATAATGCAAATGATATCACGAGTTGGCTGCATGCCAATACTGAAACGTGCCAGTATTTTTAGAACTGATATTCTATGAAATCTATAAATAAGATCTCCATTTTGAAAAAAAAATAATACCGATTAATATTCTTAAAAATAATTGGTATAAAATTATCACCAAGTAAACTCTTATTATCAGAAATATTTTTCTAAACGATAGTTCACTTTTAGGTACGGAAAATTTTGTTTTGGTTTATGTAATTATGGCTCAGCACTCGAGGGCTATTTGCCTAAGGGGAAGGATACTTTCACGGTAGAATTTCTAAGGCAAACTAGCTCGTATCCGCGTCACATATGGGGAAAATCACGAAACCTCTTGCAGCCAGTCCGTTTGCCTGGAATCGAACTCAGGTCAAACTACCAGTGTTCAGCATCTTTACCGCTCTGTCACTGGTGATCCGCGTTACTGATAATACCAAAACAAGAATATTGGCGTCATTTGAAACACTTTTGCGACTGAAAGTATAGGTTTGCGATCAACGATTTTGAAACTAAAGGTCTATTAGGACTTTAGTGGCCATGGTTTATGTAAATTTAACATTTACCCTAAGTCTTGCTTTCAAGATATAAAAAACACAAGCTGAAATCAACTCATTTTATAATCCACCCAACGTTTGATTTGGAATGTGTTATCTTTCATAATAATACTATCCATAACATTCAAATATTTATATCGACTCAGATTAATTCCCGCATACGGATTTCAGTTTGAATGTTGCAGCTCTCATCAAGTCTTTTACGTGTGTGACTAATGTTTAGAACTCATGCAAGGTTTTTGGATTGCAAGACAGAGCGTGTTTCTGCCTCTTGAAGCCACGTTGTTTTAGTTCTATCATCTCTGATAAGTTTGTAATTCTTCGGCTTTGCGTTATTTGCTGCTGACATTTAAATTATGGCGGTTAGAGTTTTGTGCCGATTTCACTTTAAATTTATTTGTGTAGTCTTTGACTACTAGTCCATGTTTATTTGAATTTGATTGTCATTTTTTGCAGTACATCACCATAATTGGTGGTTGATTTGTAATTTTCTGCATTTTGTTAGTTTTATGTTCAAATTTTGTATTTAAAAAAAAAGATTATTTTAGAGCCTTTGCAACACTTTGCAGATAATTTCAGATACAATCGTAATTCGCTTTAAGTCTATTAGTTTATACTACAAAAGCAAGTCAAACTGTATAAGCTCTTTATAGAAGTTCATACATTGTTCAGTACCGTACGTTGAACTAACCTGCGAGAAATAAAATGAATGATACGGACATATCAATGATCAGAATTCCAATTTCATATATCTTACTTAGGGAAAAATTACAATTTATAAATTACATACGATTATTATTTAAAATAGTAAAAAAATGAAATAGACTATTGGCAAGTTTTCCGAATATCAAACATTCAAATCTGAAGATAAACTCTTTTCAAAATTGAAACAAATTGAAAAATTTAGTTTTAGAAACTGGATAAAAGTTTATTATTTAAAACAAGTTCTTACAATTTAGATATCTACTTACTTTTAAGTGAAAGGTAAATATAATCGAGAGAGTTCTGCGCTACAGGTGATACGGGTCCTCTTCCGATACCGTATTGACCACAGGCAAATTTATAGAAATTGGAGCAAGGATCGACATCGTCTTTCACATTAGAGAGTATCTGACCAGCTGAAAGCATACTAAGCGATTCTTATTCGCGGAAAGTACAGTAAAATTAAAAGAGGAACATTTTATAAGATGGAAAAATACCAATCGTATTATATATATTATAAAATATGAAAACACTAAATAAAAAAGTCTTTATTCATGATACTTAGTTTACGAGTAAAACCATTCCTCAAACTTAAGTACTTTTGTCAAGAAATAAACAAAGTGTCGGAATAATTCTTTAAATTTCATTTGTTCATCTTTTCATTTGTTCTCAAGACTAAATTCTCTGCCTGTTCAGAATTTGAGCAAACACAATCTAAGAAACTATTCCAAAACTGGAATCTAGAAAGTCATACATTCAAATAATACATAGCTTTATATAATTATAGGAGATTTGAGGGGACTCATACACCTTAAACCCTCATAATCTTCGAATATGTGACTGTTGCAAGAATTGGGATATTTTATGTATTTAAAAAGCAATTACTTCCAACTTTTTACAGCTGAATACACAATATAGCTGCTTTGACAACTAGTAACTTGAAAGTTTGTGTTGCCACAAATATTTTTGTAATTTAATCCTTTTTGTGACAAAATATTTCGCCATGTTTCCACCTTGCGCGCATGATATTTTAAAAATGGCTAATGGTACATACTTGAAATTGGATGGAATTCTTTATATGGGCACTATTTCCTAACTGAACCAACAATCTGATGAATGTTTCATTATTGAAAAATTTTATGGACGAAAACATTACAAATTTTGTTAATAAAATACATTTTATAAACTCAAAATAAAATAAAAATTTAACATGAAATGTTTAGAATTTTAGGTTCACAGTAGTTTCCAAATGTTATAAAAGCTATATATTAATTATGGAATTAAATTATGAAACAGAATGTTTTAAACTGTGCGCGCAAGTTGGAAACATGACGAAAAATGTTGTCACAAAGCGGATTAAATTATAAAAATATTTGGGCAACACAAACTTTATGATTGCTATTTCAAAAAGCAGCTATATTATGTAGTCAGCTGTAAAACGTTAGTAGTAATTGCTTTTAAAATAAATAAGTTATCCCAATTCTTGCAACATTCACCTATTCGAACATCTTATGGGTTTTAAGGTGTATGAGTCCCCTTAAGGAAACAATTTGTAAATCAAATAGCTCAGTTTGTATAAAGTCGTCTAATATAGATTTATTATGGAAAAATTGCAGTTTTCTTAGCGGGCAAAATGCATTGTTAATTTATTCATGAAGATTACCCACCCAACCGCCATAGTGGTTAGTGACCCTGACCTTTGACTGCCGTACCGAAGGGCCCAGGTTTGAATCCCGGTGAAGGCATGAATGTTTGTAAATGTATAGTGTCTGTGCGGCATCGGCGCATTCTAAATATGCAGCAACCCTAATGTCCTTTCAAGAGGTTGCTGATAGGGTAAGATGGGTGGAAGGCCCTTTGACCTGTCCTCCCCGGGAAGGGACAAAACTGAGCTAAAGTCGGACTGTTACTTATATGGTGCTCAAGCCTCCTGCCAATGACAAGGGCATTTGACTCCTTGCCATGATGAATGTCACGGGCTTGTTCTGACCATTGTCAGTCAAGTGAGGAGATTAATAGCAACAACAACAAAATTCATAGAGGTTTCCTTTTAATTTTGAATATGTCATATGTAATTTGTCTGTTTACGGGCGTAATGAAATGGTCTTAAATTAGAAACATGCATTTGAAAAAGAAGAATGTTACATACTTTTTAACAACGCAAATATTTGTTAAAAGTATGCACACATGTGTATAATATTACTGTTACGAAATGTGCAGGCGCGGTAGGATGGCTTCCCCGCAGAGCAGTTTTATAAATTGTTTTAGCCACAGTATGTAAGGAGAATTTTTCTAAAATTGCAGTGCTTTCGTAAAGGACTTTCTAAAAAAAAGCTGATTTGTATTTACGTTACATTTCAGGATAGTATTATTTTAATTTCGGCAATGAACGCGAGAGCTGTCTGGCTAGGAGGAAAGATACCCCCAGTGCAGAATATTTAACGGAAATTGGTTTCCATTCCCGTTATACGAGTACATGGAGAAAAACTACTAAAACTCCCATGCAGCCAGGCAGTTCGCCAAGACATGAGCTCTAGTCGAACTAAATACCACTGTTCAGCGGGTATACATTGCGAAAGTCACGAAAACACCTAAGCAATGAGAATTTTTGCTTTTATTTCAGTTTTCAAAAATAAACGAACCATTTAGTTATTATTTCTCATTTCCGAGTTGACAATTTTAAAGATAGAAATATTAATTTATTCTCTTACCAGTTTCGATGCAGTTTTTGCTTCTACATTCATCCTGTTCAGAATTGCATCTCGATTTGGAACCTAGATTAAAAAATAACAATGAATTATTTTGAATATTGATTTTGTTGCTTTCACATAATCATATGCTAGTCTTCATAAGAAAGGTCTTCCAACCTCGAATTCTCAATTTTTTCTCAAAGAAATATATTTGAATATGCTGATCTTAAAATAAAAAAAATCTGGTGTGTACACCCCATGACTTCCTTGTACGGAATATTAAATTATACGCATTTTTTCTTGCATTTCATTTAAACTTATTGGATTGAATTAAATCTACTTCGCCGACAGCGCATAAATCACAATAGAATAAATGCATTCTTTAAAATTCACTCTAGTATTTGTTCACCATAGCGAAACTTTGGCGCTAGATTCACTTAACAGTATTAATAATTATATGAAAGTTAACTTATATAATAATTATATAACGGAAATTATAACTCATAATGCACAAAATTTATATCATTTAAAGAATAGAATTATCTCATCGTTGCCACATGTTCTATTCAAATACTATAATAAAGCTATAATGATGTATAAAAGAAATTAAGCAAACCAAACAAAAAAGAAACAGTTTTTCACAGACGATTGAGTATTTTTCATTCAATTAATTCAGTTTTCACTTAGCGAAGAAGGCAAAAATACATAAAAACTCAAAATATCTCTATTAAAAATTACGAAGTAAATCTTAAACACTTATTTCCTCGAAAAAAAAGCATGATTTAATTGGCAATAATAAATGAAGGCGTTATCCTTGTTGTTGCGAAGCTAAGTTTCTCTAGATTGGCAACAAATCCACTAGTCTGCTGTTTCAAATGTAAACAATCAATGGCCGCCATCATAAAAAAGGCTAGCGGCACTTAAACAACTTTAAATTGTTGATAATTCTAAAAATATTGCATACAGATTTACTAAAGGCATAAAAACCTTAACCGGAAGATAAGAACAACATAATTCAATCATTTTTAAAGCAAAAAATGTACAACTTACAAACATATAAGAGTAAAGAAACTGAGATCACTCAGCCGGGTAACAGAGTGGATATATATATAAATATATTTATATACGTTTGGTGCGGCCGATTGCAACCCAAATACGAGGTGCACATCTACATGTTATAGCAGTCCTATATACAAAATTTTAACGTTCTGAGGCTACTCAATTTTGAGTTATGCGAGATACGTACGTACATACGTTTGTACAGACGACATGAAAAATTCTCTTCAGAATTAATTTTAAAGCAGTTTTATAATTTTTTTTGAAGGAAAACAGCATTTTATTCTGTCTTTACCTACAGATATCACGCAAAAACATCGTTAAATTGCATTCGATAAAGATCAAAATGGATATTTTTGTGGAAATATGCTGCCTGAAACTTTTCGCGATTACAATACTTCCTTTTTACTTCGTACAAGGAAGTAAAATGTGGCTTAAAAGGAAAAAAAACACTTAAAAGAAAAAAAAAGTCACTTAGAAGAAAAAAAAATTACTTAAAAGAAAAAAAAAATATTTAAAAGGGGAAAAAATCACTTAGATGAAAAAATGACTTAAAATAAAATATTAAAAAATAAAAAAAACCACTTAAAAGAAAATCAAACAGCTTATATTCTATAGACTATTAAAAAACATTGTAAATAAAATGTCAGAAATTTTTCAATCACCAATAGTGAACTACTTGATGAATGTGTTCCCTTATGGCGACCCTTCTGACGAAATTTTAAAATTTCATGGTATGGCATATTTAATTATGGCAACGCACTGGAGAACTATCTCGCCTAAGAGAAGAGATGCCTTCATGGAGTACTTTCTACCGCAAACTGACTTGTATACACGTTATACATGGGGAAAACCACAAAAACACCCATTCACTCAGCCCGTTCGCTGAGATTCAAACCCCGGCCCGAACTACCACTGTTTAGCGACTTTACCGCGCGGCAGCTTATCGACTACTTAAAATGTCATGCAATCTCCAAAGTAACGCTGCATGAGAAATTTAGTAGACTTCTCTACAGGGTGTCCAACAAATTAAATAACTCGAAAACAAAGATTGATAGAAGAATGAAACAGAAGCTATGTAAAAATCTGATACAGAAGTTTCACATTTAGTTACAAAAGTTGCCAATAGGTGGCGCTGTAGGCACATTACATTCTAGAAAGAAATGTAACAAACGTGCCCTCTGCAAGCCGTCGTTACAATTACCTCACAATGTTATCAAAATTTCCACGTTTCGCAGTACAGAGGTGGCGCAAGCGAAGAACGAAATTTTCACACTTCTTCCTTAGTGTGTCAACAGAAATGGATGCACATGTCTCACAGATCGACTCTTCAAACTCGTCCAGTGTTGCAGGCTTCTTCTGAAAGGCAGTCTTCTTCAAGGTGCCCTACAAGTAGTCACAAGGGGTAAGATCGGGTGAGTGTGGATGCCAATCTATACCAGTAAATTTGGAATAGCCTAAAGCAATAACTCTATCCCCGAAGTATTCCTCAAGGAACTGAAATACCTGTTCAGTTCGGTGTGTTCACCCATTCTTGCATGAACTACAAAGTGCCTGGTCAATTTCCAACGCTAACAATGTGGCGACAAATTGTTAAAACATTTCAACATAACGGTCAGAAGTGATCGTTTCTCTCAAGAAAAAGGGGCCGATAACACCTTTGTTGGATACAGCAGCCCAAGCAGTAACTTTTCGGGGGGGGGGTAATGTAGTGGCTGTGCTTCACACAAATGGGGGTTTTCAGCACCCCAAAATCGCCAATTTTGTTTGTTTACAACAGCATTCAGGTGAAAATGTGCTTCATTTGGGAACCATATGCAGCCAACATCGAATCCGTTTATCAATGTGAGCATTTTGTTCGCGAAGTCTTCTCTCTGTTGCACGGCTGAAGCGGGAATGTCTTGGTGACATTGGATCTTGAGCGAAAACAAGTGTATCGTGTTTCTGGGCATATCGGATCGCGTTAAGGTCGCTGGTTAAGGCAGATTCGGGGCACCAACATTCCCCACTAACTCATCAGCTTCGCTTCCTGTTTTTTGAAATTTATCGAAACGCACACGAATAGTTTTCGAATCAGGATCTTTTGCAACGTTAAATCGGGGTTGAAAACTGCTCCTTGTTGCCATAGGACTGTAATTTAACCTGTGAAATTCCACTTCCAGAAATACGCGTTATTCCATGGAATAGATGATTTCATGCACGTGCTTCGACACCCCAACAACCTTCCACGTTTTAACAGTAGAACTGTCCACAGAATGATCGTTCTGGACTTCAGATCACTCTTTATAGGGACTCCTTCTTGGTAATACATCTTACAGCGCCACCTACTGGCAACTTTTGCTGCTAAATGTGAAACTTTTGTATTAGATTTTTACAGCTGTCTCAATAAACAAACGGGGCTCCTTTGTAGAACACCCTGTACCAGCGAACTAAAATCCCTGAACACCGCAACTTCGACCCGAGTTTCGAATACCGCGAACGGGTTGACTCCATGAGCGTTTTCGTTGTTTTCCCCATGTTTAACGGGTTAATACGAGCCAGTTTCCTTGAGAAAGTTGGCCCACCAGCGGCCGAGCGGTAAAGTCGCTGAACACTGGTAGTTCGGTCCGAGGTTCGAATCCCGCGAACGGGCTGGCTGCATGGGTGTTTTCGTGGTTTTCCACATGTGTAACGTGTATACGAGCCAGTTTCCCTTAAAAAGTCCTCCACGAAGGCATCCCTCCCCTTAGGCAGATAGTCCTAGTGTGCTTTGCCATAATTAAATACACCAAAATACACCTTTAGAAAGTCCTCTACGAAGTCATCCCTCCCTTCCGTGTAGTGCCTTAGAACGGAACACAAAATAATAATAATAATAATAAATATATATTTCCAGTTGCCGATTTAACATTGATTTAAAAATGAACATTTTATAAAGTCATGTGCTTTCAAGTTAGCAATATATTTTTTGGGGGTTTTTTGGTGTGTATGTATTGCTGTTTTTCGATATGTTTCATCGTAAATCTTTAATCAGATTCCAATAAAACTGCAATCTGCACTTATATGAAGTACATTACTGAATTTCGGAGAGGGGAGGATATAGTTGACTCTACATCTCAAAAGCAAAGCTATAAAATTAGCTGTTATATTTCTATATATGAAAAAAAAAAATCTGAAAGGTTTCTGGAAGATTTTAAATTACGTCCAAAGGGGCGTTTTTTTAACATTTTGCGTGTTGCATTTATTTATTAAATATCACGTTGTTCGCACTTAAACCATAAAATTCAATTCAAGAACAATATCTCAAAATAGATTTATATTGAGCATATCTTTAGAATTTCCGTTACACAGTCTCGTGCGCTTGAGATTAAATTTTGGGGGGGGGTCGCACAGTGTTGCCCTTGTTCGCTTTGAAATCCTTGAGTTTGTTAATCAAAATTTCGTTAAAGCTTTACAAAGTACGAAATTAATAAAACAAATTCCAAATTTCAAATTTGGGCTCCCACATGGCCATATTCGCAGTAGGAGTATGTCGTTCAAAATTCGGTGGCTCTATGTACCGTTGTTTAGGAAATTTAGGAAAATTTTGTATTCGTAATAAAGCACGCATCACAAAACGCTTTATGCAGTACTATAAATAACTGTTCGAAGTATTTCGCATTAAAGTCGAAAATAGCTTTTAGGAGCCGTGCACAAACTGAAGTGCGAAATGTTTGCGTGTACATGTAACTAAAATAAAATATTAGTCAAGAAAAGTGTTCTGATCTTAAGAGATTAAGTAACAAACAGTTCTGTGCAGATTATTGTAACAAGTGTTAATCAATATAATTCTTTTCCAAAATGGAAATCTTATTCTAGGATCTTATAGAATTCGTGTTCTAGAAAACAATGGAAAAATTCATATTTCTAAGCGAAATGGAACCCGAGATTTTCAACTGCTAGTTGGTTTTTTGCCCAGTAGCCTTGCAAGGATATGCGGGAGAAAAATGTAATTCTTCACAGCTTCATAATTATTTGATCTGTAAGTAGATTTGTGTCAAAATATTTTA